AACACAGACCTTCTGATTTGTAGTTTTTCTTTAAGTCATCAACCTATACTTATATTTCGGTTTAGTTTGCATTTCGGCTGCAGCTTGATCTAGAAATATCTCCTGTAGCTCCAAACGTTTGCACTGATTAGTAACTTAATGATAAGTGAACTTTACTCTCGAAATTGTTGAGGCAAACAATCCAGTTGTCCCAAACTCTCCCTCCAGCTTATAGCGAGGGTTTTGTGCCTCACTTAACCCAAGATCTTCTTTTTCCATCAGTATGTTTTGCCTGGAGTACATTAAGTAAGATATTATTTTGAATAAAGGTTTCTCGTCCTTACTTTATCTTGTGGAACCACCCACAAATTAGGTTAGTCATGAACTTTTAGTGGTTGTAGCAAGCCGTACATGGAACTACTATGTAGGAGTTAAATCGTGCTTTCTGAGGTCAAGAGACAGTGCTGAAGTCTCAAGCTGGTAGCATTTTGTCAAACTTCAGCTTCAGTAGTTGTATTACTGCCTGGATTACCCAATTTTATTGGGCGTTGGAACCTGTAGAGGTCCAGTACAGTCCTCTAGTCAGGTGAATTATTCCTCTGGCATTAGAGCAACACCAGCAAGACTCCGTCACCTTGGTTGTGTTTTGTGTTACGGCTCCGGAGTGATAGGTCTTCACCTCTAGTTTTGCGTACCCTATTGCATCGCAAAAGTGTTATGCTCCGCAAGCTCACTTCGTCATCAGTGATGTCAGGCGATAGCCATATTTTGGTCAAGACTACAACGTTTAGATCCAACTGAAAGTGTAGTGGTATTGGTCCCTAACCACACGACCTTCGAACTGAGCGCATAACTACTGAGATTTACATTAAACATGCAACACTAACGCAAGGAGGAAATGGTGAAGTCGGCAACAATGAATTGAAATGTCATGGCTCGGTCATGCATGCGAGATCACTCTTTATAACCTCTTGCTTTTTGAGTCAAATGTCTTACTGTCCTCCCAGCACAACCATGTTTTTTAGAAATACTAGACGTAACAATGCTGATGGTCACGATCGAACGAGTCAGTGAAGATACTGATGGAACTTACAAGAAAGATCTTATAGACTAAGTAGTCCTACTTACTTACTTACGCCTGTTACTCCCAGTGAAGCAAACGTCGCTGACCAGTATCCTCCAACCCACTCTGTCCTGGGCCTTCAGTCTAGTTCTATCCAATTCTTGTTCATTCTTAACATGTTTGTCTACATTTCTCGACGTAATGTGTTCTTCGGTCTACCTCTTTCCTATTGGCCTTGAGGACCCCAAGTGAAAGCTTGTCTTGTGACTAAGTTGGGTGCTCTCTCAATGTGTGTCTTAACCACTGCCATGGGATAAGGTTGTACGTTTCAGTTTTAGAATTGACTTTTTATAGCCACTTCTGTTAAACAAAGGTAGCATTTCTGTGGATATTAGTTGTCTGAAAGAAACACAATATTGCTGTCAATTCCAAGTACATTTGACAGTAGGAATCAGTGTTTCCACTAATCCAATTCAATTATGCCATTACAATATGCAAGCCTAATCACAATGTGAAGGTACCAACTATGGTTGGCGGAATTTGATATTGCTTAACATGGTGGGAGTTTTGAGCAACGTTAGACTGACCTTGAGAGTGTCCATATAATAACTAAGACCAAATGAGTCTTCTAAACCTGTGTAAGCAATTAGAACTATGATTTACAGTTGATGGTTGAGTTTGGGAATAAGATTAATGGTTTCCATCACGAACTGACATCAGCTATAATGCCGAAACGGTATTTTACCAAATGGATGGGTGAATTTCGCGCCAAAATCAAAGACCTCTTATCATATTCCTAATTGGTTCGTCCATGAATTATATTCTCACCCTTATCATGATTTTAATATAGGACCAATAAATTTTCAACTGTACAACAGCTTGAATAAACGGGTTAAGCATACATTATTGACTGAATGTTATACTTGACTGGTTGAGGATAAGTTACACAACCTGACATTTTAATTGTTGCTTAATTACAATGCATTTGTGAAAGAAGTACATGATTACAGTCATCTTATTGCTTACTTACACCCGTTACTCTCAATGGAACATAGGCTACCGGTCAACTTTATTAAACCCACTCTGTCCTAGACCTTCCTTTCTAGTTCTATCCAATTGTTGTTCATGCTTCTCATATCTGTCTCCATTTCTCGACGTAATGTGTTCTTTGATCTTCCTCTTTTCTATTGACCTTGAGGACTCCATGTGAGGGCTTGATTTGTGACGCAGTTGGATGCTTTCCTCAATTTGTGTCCTATCTACTTCCAGCGCTTTTTCACGATTTCTTCCTCCGCTGGAATATGGCTTGTTCTCTCCCACAGTAGGTTGTTGCTGATAGTGTTTGGCCAACGGATCCGAAATGTTTTGCACAGACAACTGGTAATAAACACTTGTACGTTCTGGATGATGGCTTTCGTAGTTCTCCAAGTTTCCGGTTCATACAGTAGGACTGCCTTGACATTTGTACTGAAAATTCTGACTTTGGCGTTGGTTGACAGACAGTTGTCTTGAGTTCGAGATGTTCCTCAGTTGTAAATGTGCTGCTCTTGCTTTGCCGATCCGCTCCTTCACATCTGCATCAGATCCACCCTGTTCATCAATGATGCTGCCTAAATGTGTAAAGGTTATTGCATCCTCCAAAGCTTCTCCGTCAATTGTGATTGGATCGGTGCATGCTGTGTTACATTGGAGAATCGTGATTTTCCCTTTGTGTATGTTGGGACTTACTGCTGCTGAGGCTGCTGCTACTCTGGTCGTTTTCTCCTGCATTCGCTGTCGCGTGTGTGATAGAAGAGCCAGATCATCTGTGAAGGCTAGATCGTCCAGGTGCATTGTAGCTGTCCACTGTATCCCATGCTTCATAAGCTAGTCGATCACCAGAAGAGAGAGAGGAGTGAGAGTAAGCAACCTTGCCTAACACTGTTCTTTACTTCTAACGAGTTTGTCAACTGTCCTCCATGCATGGATATGCAGTTTAATCCATCATAGGAATTCCGTATGATATTGACTATCTTCTGAGGCACGCCGTAGTGTCGAAGAAGTTTCCGTAGTGTTGTTCTGTCCACGCTGTCAAATGCTTTTTCGTAGTCAATGAAGTTGATGTAGAGTGATGAATTCCATTCAATTGATTGTTCCATAATGGTCCGTAGTGTTGCGATTTGGTCTGTACACGATCTATCCTTACGAAATTCTGCCTGTTGGTCACGAAGTTGGGCGTCTACGGAGTCCTTCACTCTGTTTAACAATACTGTTGAAGACTTTTCCTGGTATTGAGAGAAGATTGATGCCTCTGTAGTACTCACACTTTCTGAGATCGCCTTTTGTGATATCTTGATCAGGTTTCCTTCTTTCCAGTCTGTTGGTACTTGTTCCTCATCCCAAATTTTGCTGAAGGGAATGTGGAGTATCTTTACAGTTACTGCTACTTCAGCTCTCAGTGCTTCCGCTGGAACGTTGTCCGGTCCTGCTGCTTCACTGCTCTTGATTTGTCTGATGATTATGCTGATCTCGTCAGTTGTTGGTGGGCCAACATTGATTGGTAGGTCCGTAGGTGCTGCTACAATGTTGGGTGGGTTCAGTGGAGCTGGTCGATTCAAGAGTTCATTGAGGTGTCCTACCCACCTGATTCGCTGTTCTTAAATGTTGGTGATTACTTCGCCTTCCTTGCTCTTCACTGGTCGTTCTGGTTTACGATCATTTCCAGTGAGTTTCTCTCTTGTATCATGCAATTGCCACATGTTTCCTTCTCTCGCAGCCTTTTCCGCCGTCATTGCTAGATCTTCCACATTTTTATGTTTATCGGTTCTGGTGCTCCTCTTCACTTGCTTGTTTACTTCTGTGTATTCAGCTTGTGCCTTGGCTTTTTCTGCTCTTATTCGGCTGGTATTGATTGCTGCCTTCTTGTTCCTTCTTTCTTGAATCTTATCCAGTGTATCAACAGTGATCCATTCCTTTTGATGGTGCTTCTTGTGACCCAGAACCTCATGACATGTTGAAGTGATTACCTCCTTTATCTCCTTCCAGATGCTCTCCATAGTAGATCCTTCTCCATTGAGTAGATCATGAAAGGCCTGGAACCTATTGCTGAAAGCTATCTTGAATTTGTTGAGTTTGTGAGTATCCAGAAGAAAAGCCATATTAAACTTCTGTGATGTTGTCCGCCCCGTTTTCCAGTAATTCTTAAGTTTCAATTTCATCTTGGCGACCAGCAAGTGATAATCAGATGCTATTGATAATGTCACAGGTATTCAGTGTTTGACAACGCTTTTACCAGTAACACCTTCTATTATATTTCATTCCCACCCAGAGAAATCAAAAGACAGAGTCGAGGAGATCGGAAGAGTATATTTGGCGATGACCAATATATCGGAATTCTCTGATCTAATCTGGCTAGCGATTGCGGTTGATGTTGAGCATAGCGTTATCACACGTGATCTGGTGCGGATGCATAACCGAGCGCCTTCAGCTAGATGAGTCCACTAAAACATATGGTCAGCATCCAATGTCGAAAACTTAGATCTATTTATTTTAGGGATTTATTTACCGCTACACTATATTAGCTCCTCTCCTGATTCTCACGTCTTCTATCATCCTCCTGAACTTTTTGTTGATGCATATATGGTCGATTTGGTTTTGCGTGGTGTGATCCGGTGAAGTCCATGTGATTTTGTGAATGCGTTTATGTGGGAATATAGTGCCGCCTATGACCAGCCATGGCCCCGAGATTAATATCAAATTGAATGCTAAAACAGAGTAGCATGAATGTCTGGCATCTTTGGGTTACAATTGTTTTGTATAACTTTCATTCTTCTCCGAAAAAACCTTGATTTTTTCGCACTGCTGCGCGATATTGCATTCGACCTTGAACCTGACCCTAAAGGCCATAGGGACTTTTCACTGGCATACCATTGGATGCTCGTAGTTTTATAAATAGTTTTACTTAAAAGTTGCATTCCCAATGTCTGACGACGTAATGGTTTCTAAAGTTATTCTACAGGAACAGCGTGGAAATTTTTTACTATCTGATGTAAAGGAAGAACCACGTGATTCCATCCCAACCCCGTCAACTTGTTCTGACAATTCACACATTCCCGTGAGTTTTCTCTGACAACTTAATTTAGTTACGTTCATCCATGTATTAGTCTAAAAAACAAGGCATAGCATGCTTTAAAACTTTAAAGTGAATCTACGGTTAGTAAAGTGTCATCCATTACTTAAAATGCTCGAGCTACATGTACATAATAACTATACCACGCAGTTCTTTTCTGTGGCCAAATTTATCGGATATTTTCAGCAAAGGCGCTAGTTGTCTTCTGGTTGATAGGTCTTACTCTTATTGTTTTTTCTTCAGTTTTACATTTCGGATGCCCAGTTGGCCCTAGACCTTACACTTGTCGAAAGAGTAGGTGTCGTGGTTTAACACCTCACTTCGCTCGGTTCTCTTTGTTTCCTTGTCATTTGTCACTTCTCTACAGTATCTCTTTTGTACACTTGAATATTTACCACCTTGCGTCGTGCCGCTGCAATGCGTCAAAACTCATATCCTAGTGTCACAATGTCCGATTTTTTTCCACCACTAGTACTGACGTTGAATGAAAATTCTGTCAACAAAGCAGCTTCGACGCTTCTACAGTCCACTATTCGTTATATTACCTGTTTGATTTGTATAATAAAAAAGACGGCTCTGGCATGCGATATCATGTGGCGTACATACTTGTGTTTTATCTTTTCCTGTGGGTGTGTATTGTACACATCAATTTCAAGTCGATAATTGTTGTTACATTAAAAACCCTTATAATGCTTCTACTAGTAGTAATGACAAACGCTCCTACGTTTGCGCACCAGGTTGTAAGCTATGGCTACTGCGCAAGGGTTGACAGTACTCGGTTCTCCATGCCATGGTAGGTAAAGTTGGTTTTGAACCTATCATACAGTGGTTAGGTCAAACACCAAATCCACTAAATCACGGCAGCAAATATCTGACATGTAGAGATTCAACCGCGTCTAGAATTGGTGCTCAGTGAGACTAATATCTTCATTGCTATCGGACATTCTAAGTTTTATTGAAGGAGAATAGGTTTAGGAGGAATTTATTTAATTTAACTGTTTCAACTTGGAAGTTTTAGAATTGTAAAGTACTGGAGCAATTTAAAATTACAGGTTTCCATTATAGATCGCTGTATTAAATTTACTTGATAAAAATAACTGCCTACACGAGATTATACATTTACGTGTATCCCGAACTTCCATCGAGAATGTTGCCTTCGAATACTCTTTCCATATGGTCGAGACATCCATAGTTCTCCTGAATGATGCGTTAATTTCTTTTTTTTGCTCTAAGGTATTATATTCGTTCGTTAATCTCATCCACCTAACAAAGTATCAATTCTCAACGTAGATATTGTTATTTCTAGATCACTACAGCTGTTCATGAGGTCACCCAACCAACCAATCAAATTCAGCTGGGAGCTACATTTAGTTACATATCCCCACCACCTTATTTCTCAACAGCTGAACGTTTAAATATTCCAGGAACACATCCTCTTACTTGGCCAAATATTTACCAACAACAGATCTCTGGAACATCTAATGAACCTTTAATGTTGCATAATGTATCGACTGTGCGAAGTTGTTCTCCTACCATTACTACCGTCAGTACTTTAACTCCTGTTCTTTTGTCTGGCGTATTTCCTTCATATCCACCACAACAGGTATTTATATGAGTATAACGCTTTGAATATGTTTATTACTATTTTTCAGTCCTACTAGTATTCACGAGCTTGACATAGGGCTAAAGTAGTCACAGTATTCATAAAAGATCACGTAGTCATTACACATCGTTCTCTAGAACTGTCTTATAGTAAAACTACACTTTTTGGAAAGAGCATACCAAAAGTTTTGATATTTGCTGATAGGCATTTAGTACACTTGAACAACTACTAGTAGTAGAACCTTTCTTGACATTTTATTGACCATGTTGGTACTATAATAATGATGAAAACGTTAATCCAGTGTTTTTAGAGCTTTTACTAAACGGGTCAAACAATAACACTAGATTACTCCATAATTTTCATAGCAGATAAATTTCTCTCATAAATTTTCTCAGTCGTTAATTCATTGTAGTAACATCAATTTGTATACCCTTGAACAGTTTACTAGCCTCTTGAAAGCCATTGAGTTGTGTAAACTATTCTTGGTTTGTATGTTGGATAGTCTTATATTGTATACGCTTGAATGCTTAGCTAGACGGTTAAATAATGCGTATTGTGTTAGTTTCTCATACCAACTAAGGATGTACACATTTTTTGCCTTGTTTCGAATATTCTGTTACGGCGTTTATCTGGTTGCTCTCTTTCGCCTTCCGGTAGTTTTATGAAATATATGTCTCTATAAACTGCAATTGACTCGAATTTACGCTGTCTGGTCCAAAATTATGTGAGCGTTGGGGCGAAACTATGTAGAACAACATCTTGTGGAATCAGATCAAAACCTTAAGACACACCTCTTGTAGTCATTGTCCCTTCATATTTTTTAATTTGAAGCTTGGATTGCATTATCGTTCCACTGAGTTGTAACAAGATCGTTTTCTTGACTAAATTATTTATTTAAACACATAGGCTTCATTGTTTTCCCAACGAATTTTCTTTTCAGAATTTTCTTAATAGTAAGATCCTAACAGTTAGGATATGTAGTGCCTTCTACATTCGTTTGTGTTGCGTCGACTCGATTTTTTAACAACTATAATTCTACAACACGACCAAAAGTTATAATGTTCATCTACCGAAGTACAGTTGCGATTTAGAAGTGATTATTTGCTCCCATAAATAAGATACTGCACAAGTGAATATTTACACGTTTACCTCAAAATCTACTTCTGACCAATGTATGTACTGGATACTCTGTAGGATTCCTCATCACCTTTTAGTTTAATCTATTCTCATTCATTTATTTCAATTTTGTAGACTTTTATTCGAGTGATTTTATGCTATAAACAAGTGAAAAAATTCTAATAAGTTTATGACCATGCTCAACTTCATTGTTAGCTCATTCTATCGCCACCTATCATAAATTCAAATTAAATTTTCCAATAGACTTGTTCACGATTATATGCGTTACAGTTTGTTACAACATAAAGGTTGAGTCTCAATCTGTATTCGGCAACAGTTAAGCAGTTGTTGCATGATTAGAGCACTCGATTTCTAGCTGTTGGCTTCTAGGTTTGAACTCTAGCTACTTCGGTTTGGACAGTCGGGTATTATCACTAGGATGAAGACGAGCGACTCAGCTCAAAACTGTACATAAACCTATAATTGGTGAGTCACATGAACTGAAAAGCAATGATTGCTGATAGCTTATGTTTGTAAAAAGCAAATGAATTTCGCACTGGAAAATCCAAAATCCAACAAATTAATTATTAAGTGTATTTGAATACTAAATGAATAAAGTTGAGTTTCATAAATGATCAAAATCCTCAGTGAAGCACAGAAACATACTAACCAAAAGATATGATTTGTGTTGAATTCATTTCACCCAATAGATTCTTGATATAATGTATTAGGTACTTTGGATCTTTACCATAGCAATAAGTATTGCTTGAATTTATTCAACTTTGTCATTATTCTTATCCGTATACATTTTTTTGCTTTCGGTAGTTCCATCAAAATCAACCATTACCTAATCCCATACACATTCAAAACTCTTCATCTAGTGCACTTGTAAGCACTGGTCTTCATTTTCCTTTGAACGAGACCATTAATTCGTCATCTATAGGTAACAATGCGTTTTATGGATTTTTACCTGGCAGCGGGAATCCTTCGATATTACAATCATCTGGACCAACAGTTTGCAATGCATTTAACCATAACCCTGTTCATCCATTGTATCATAATAACAAATATCTCCTAGCTCCTCAGTATTCACCAACAATTTCAACTTCAACTGTCTCAACATCAAGTTATCTACCATCTAACCTACCAATTCATATTCAACCATCAATGATAACACTAAACCCAACTATTGAATCAACTGATGACATTAGCAGAATAATCTCTAACTCTTTCAATGTCGAAAATCGCACTCATGGAAATAATAATAATAATAATAATAATAATAATAATAATATTGTTTCACAAACAGTTATTCATCCTAACGTTGGTAGCTCTTGTACAAGTCATCTTTCAAATAAGAATTCTATTCCTAGGGAACTTGCTCATTCATCATATGAATCATCGCATCAACATTCTCTTATTAAAGTAGGTTAACTAGTGCTGAAATTAATTTTTTTTTTCTATTATCACCAAATATTTGAATATACAGTTTTGTTTTTTGTTGGAAAAATAACTAACTAATATAAAGGGATATCAACGTTTTTCTTCCAAAAAAACTTAGTATACTCAATACTTCATACGTATGTTCTACAGCTTAATCTCTTTTTCAACAGCGTATTTCATTGAATGGTATTTATTGTCAAATAGTAGTCTATATAAAATGAATTGACTCACTTTTATTATCAAGTTGAATTGAATGGAATCAATGAATATAATTAGTATTTTGTTCCCTTAATTTTTCCTATTCCCATTAAACCATTTATGATTGAAGAAACGGTAATTTTTTTGTTGTTGTTGCCGAATAATGAATATAATCACTTGATAAATCTCATCAGCATTGATTTCTTTCTTTCGGTATTAAGTAAATGAAACTTCATCTGTGGAACATACTTAAGATGCTTTTTTTTAATGCTACAACTGGATTTGAGATTGGATCAGAACTGATCCTGTCAATGAAGAAAATGCTTTATATTTATTTAGTCGATATGGTTGTTTTATAAATTCCAGTTTACATTTGTATACAATGGAAGAAAATTTACGTAAGGGTTTAGGGTAATTTGATTCCTATAAATGAATTGATTGTTGAGGTATGGAGTTCGAGAACTATTTCATTATCAGTATTAATTTCTGTTTATCTTTTGGGAAAATATGTTGAAATTGTTGATGACTGTATTGGTTGTTGCGATTATAGTAATTGCATTATACATCTTGAATGAACTTCGTGAACTCTGCTAGTTCCTTTTAAGATTTGTGAAATTCATAGGCAGTTTGACTGCTATGATATTCGAACTGATACTTCTTCGAAATTTCCGCCGTATCAATTACGTCTTTTATTACTTTTTAAAATACCCTTGTTTTTATTAACAGATTAAAATTTAATGAGTGTGATAATTTTTTAATCTATACCATCCTTCCCCATTATTGTCTGTGTTATACTGGTCAGTTGACATAACGGAGCATACTACTATTTTTAATTGCAGATTGACAGTTTTATGAAGTGCTATACTGGAGATGTAATTTACCTAAGTTTAATTCAGGAACTGATCTTAGCTAGACCACCATTAAAAACATGGAAGCACTAAACGGCCGTTTCATCCCAGCAAGAGACTCCTCGTCAGTAGAGATCCACGATTGAACCCAGGACTTTCGGTCTCGTTTATGAGCGCATAACCTCTAGACCACTGAGCTGGCATTCAACAATGTTAATGTCTACCTTCAATCTGTTGACGATATTACACAACCCTCATCCATTGCTTGCGGTTGTTAACTATCTCACAGCCGACATGGATTGGACTCTACTGGTCACGGCTTCACATTAGATTAATTTGACTCAATCTAATTTTGATAAATCCAATAGATCACATCATGGAAAACCCATTTACTAATAATATCATCGAAATAAAGATAACTAATTTCTGTGAATTATACATTCAGTCTTATTCATAACATCAGGGCTATGAATTAATTGTGATATGATAAATAATTGCGTCAATATTTCTAACATCAACTCTTATTGAACAGAGTAGTGAAACGAAAGAGAACTTCATCTTAATCTAGTTTCAGTTAATTCAAAGATAAATTTCAAGTAGATAATTTACACGATTCATCGTGAAAAAGAAATAAATAAATAAACTAATTAGATGTATAGATATAGTGCATAAAACAAGGTAACTAATAAACATTACTCAATTGTCAATAAGCTAACAGAAACAATAAAAACAAAGGAGAGACTGTGTAGACAAATCTCATGTAAACAACCATGTACAAAACCGATTATATAAAATAGTAAATTTTACAAACTGTTTTACAAGTGATCTAAATAACAAATCATCTTTTGATTTCACTAAAATCCTAAGTAATTTTGAATGATGATAAAAGTTACACTTTTTTCTTCTCGACATCAGATACAAGTCGATAGACGCTAAATTATGAATATCACCTAGGGAATTATGAAGAGTATTTTTTGTGTGTAACTTTCATTGTCATTCTTTCACTGTGACCATTTCAGTAGTATTTTTATCTTTCACTGTATATAATAAAATATGGTTCGTTTCACCGAATACACAAATCAACACTTAGTTATAGGCTTACTAACTATCACTACATACTTCAACTCTCTTTTCATCTTTGACTTATTTATCAAACATAAGTTTATATATTCGATCTTGAGGCACACTTCTTTATGTGGATTAGTAATACTACCCATTTACTCAAACCTTAGTAGGTTGAGTATGATTTGAATTTCTCACTTAATTGTTGAAGTGTGAGTGCTTTAACTAGAAAGCTACCCCTTATATATATAGTTAATTTGTTATATCTTTTCTGTCGATTTCATTCTTATTGGGTATAGTCGACAATACGCAAGAGTAGTTCTACAGAACCTGTCAGTAATATCAATAAAATACAGTCAATTTCATCAGGAGCAGTAGCAACAACAGTACAGGCAGTCTCAACGACAACTGGTGTCCCTGTTTTGGACAAACAAATTCATGTTACAGTATGTTCTACCTCTGCTACAACTATGACTACTACTAGCTCTACCGCTCCCATTATTGACAATAATTTTGATCCAATAATTGAAAGTTCTTTCGATGGAGTTCTATGGGGTCGTATATATCGTCGTGCAGATGGTGATTTAATGCTTCCTGGATTAGGTACACTTTGTACATTTAAAAGTTCAAATTCAGTGTTAAGACAAATCTGTCAAATGACTAAAACAGACGATAGTCTTGCATTACAAGTGAGTTATTCTAGTTTCAAATTACTCCTTTTTTATAATTAGGAAAAAGAAAGAATTATCCTTAATCTAGATAAATGATGTAATATGTAGTTGATCTTTATCATAGACTTACTAAGCTTATGTTTAATAATGACAACAGAGATCATTTTTATGAAATTCCATACACATTGATTAGGATTAGGGTTACGGTTACCGATAAGCAATACCAATATTATTAGCGTTACCTTTTCTGGATTGACACGGTGATAGTTAGTATGTGACTTTTCATTCTTTCTATTATTATCACTTTGCAAGCTTGTTGTTATATTCACAAACGCTACATAATTCTTATAGGTAATTATCTTGAATTCCAATATTCTCTCGCACATACCTTTTCATTTCGCCTTTTATTTTTTAATCATATTCCTGAGGTTCTAGTCTTTCTTTCTATGATCGCTACTGCATTATTTCGATCTCTTTTGTGATCTTCATTTCGTCGTGCTAATTATGGTTCGACAATTTTGGCCAACATATATCTGTCCTAGTCTCTATGCTGAAGACATCTGCCTATATATATATATATATATATATATATGGTAATGTCTACTGATGTTGTTATCTTCTGAGAATAAAAAAGTTCTCTTATCAAGAACCACCTTTTTTTCTCGCATTACGACATTAGAAAATTTTACGTTAGTTTGTATTTCAACAGTGTGTTAGTGTATATTTGGCGACAATGAGTTTACCGACTACTGTAAAACCATTCCAAGTTCATAATCAATTATATTTGTTGAATAGTTTGTCGATACAATTGATCTAGTCAGTTTCCACGTAATAGACCTTTAATTATAGGACCTTTCTCTTTCCAGTGACATTTTTACGGGTACCAGTTTTTTGTCGTCACTACTTTTATTACATAGAAAATTTATCATTGCATACCTGTATTCCATTGTACTGAGTGATTTTCTTTGTTTAGAATAAAAATCTCTTGACAAAATATTCTAGATCAACTAAGTCATTTGAAGTAGTGATTTAATGATCAAAGTTCTTGATTTACAACAGTTGAATCCCAGGTCAAACTTATCTTCGTCTACTTTATTCGAAACACTCGTATAGTATCTTACCTTAATGTTATAGTCTAATGGTTAATATGTGTCTGGATTCTAACCACAAAGTCCAATGTTCAGACCTCACTTAATCTACTTCAGTTTAGTTAACTAGGTTATCATCAACAGTTCCCACATGTAATGTTCAACTTGCAATATTAAATACATGAATATCTGTAATTGAAACATAAATTTTATTTCTTACCAAAATAAATAATTCCTTATTTTTGATAGCTATCGCCATCTAGAGTTCAAAGTGAAATTGAAAAAAATCATCTATCAACTTCACCATTGAATCCATCATCGAAAAAAGTAAGCATCTCCTAATATTTCATTTCTAATGCATAAATTAATTTGTCACATGAGTGAAATGTATGTATGTATATATTCTGAAATTTACTAGCATAGTTACTATAGGTGAACTTAGTGGCTTATTATTTCAAAAACTTTAGATAGTCAATTCATACCTCTCTCCCTCTATCTGCTTTGATATGTATTTTTATTTTTATTTTGTAAGTAATTTACAGTTCAATAAATTAGCAAACATGTATAGTATTATTTAATGGTTATCGTTCTCATCATGAGAGCTGTAGATTATAGTTTAAATCTCATGTATTGTTGTTGACATTTACTGCTTAAATGTCTCAAATGAGAGCGAAACAACTGTCCATTGCTCTGTTGCTTTCAATGTTTCTCTAGTTGATATTATCAGTCATTGATAAAGACGCAACTCAATTTAATCAAATTATTCAATTCTGGAAACTTATTCATTTGTTCATTATCATGTTTGGTTGTTATGTATCCTACAATAAGACAGAGGTACAGATTCCTACCAACTAGGTAAGAAAATTGATTGACTTATCAGGAGAAAAGCTGAAGCTAAAAACTGATCAAAATATTCAAGAAAGTTGCACTTGAAGAAGCGAACCATACTTCACACTCAAGATGGCTAGTTTACGTGAGCACAATGAATATTCAACTAAGATTTTGAGCTGACTGTACTTGAAGAAACGAACTACACATCACTTAAAACGGCCAGTTTACATGAGCAAAATATGCACTCAGATCTTGTTTATTTTCGGCAAACACAAAAATAATAAAACCCTGGCTGCTATTGTGTGTGAAACAGTACGCGGAAGGTCATGCCTTCTAACCATTATGCCGGTTAGAGGGTAAGATGCAGTGTCACGCAGTTTGATATCCTGCTCGAGTAGTTGTATTTTTCTAACATGACAGTTGTCGTTGATGGTTTAGTATTCTCACGCTCATACGACAACTAGATATAATGACATTCACTGTTCTATGATTCAAATACATCGCTGTGGTATATTCACTAAATCCAACGGTTAGACCCTAAAAGAAATACGTAAACTTTTACGACCATGTTTTGGATACACGAGTAGGTTGTTGTAGTGCCTGACAGTTTGATACCCCATTTGATTACTTACATCTTCCCTAATCTATAGATTCGAATAAGGACCTAGTCTCCGGTTTATTATTACATTTCTCAATTTTTTTTCACTTTGCATATTAAATCTTTCACGTTTTGTCAGTATAAATTTTTACATAATTTTCATATATGTCATGAAAATCTCTCCATACTTCTCTCGACCTCTTCCTCCCAACCAGACTGCCAGGTGTTAAACCAAATAGTCACAAGTGTATTAATTGCCTCAATTTATAATTAACACCAATTATTACCAATAACATACAAGACTATAGAGTACAAAACTACAAGACATTTTTCTTACTTAACTAACCGATATTTTCTTTAAACTGCTAAAAAGCTAAAACTGGAATTCTTAAATCAAATGAAACCTTACAGTTAAATATCATAAAAATAATCGTTCAGTTAATCCTTCTTAGTATCCCTCAAAAGAATTAACTACAGAATAAATACTCTCCGGTTGTGTATATTTTCTCACTTTACTTCCCCATATTAGTGTAATCCATCTTACGTAATATCTATGTATATGTAATATATATCTGTATTTAATACCGTACATTAAATGAATGAAGGACAAATATATGTTGACTGGTAATTTGGGGAATCATCCCACTGGCATGCAATTTAAAAAGAGGTCGTTTACTATGAACCTAAAAATTGGTTACTAAATTTACAATTGAATCCTTAGCGTAGACGTGAAAACAATAATAAGTGTTTCTCTCTTTCTCTATCTCGATAATCTCTTCAGTAGTTTCAATGGAATCAGATATTCATAGATGAGGTAAATTATGTCAGTTTCTCCTCTCCGACTTGATATGTCTATGTCTTCTACTTTATGAAGCTATTATTGTTGACTACTATCTGCTCTCATCCAACTAATTAACCTGATTTTCTATGTGTTTATATATGTGTTCACGCATTGTAATTTGCTCTGTTTTTTTTCTGTTGCTTCATTGCATTCCCCTTTACCGCCGGTAATGTATATGTATATGAATTCTCTACAGTGTACACAAAACCTTTGTACTTCTTATTTTACTATGACTTGCTCTGTGATTGGTTGTCTTCATCTATTATTTAGACAATTAGTGAAATTTAATTGTACACATACATTTGATTCATTATATTCTGACTGTAAGGAGCTATTGCTCGAGTTGTGTTGTTCACCCCGTTCTAACTGTACTTTTTCTGTTGACCAAACTTAATTTGTTGGTTCGTTTGAATGATATTAGATTCATTGTGTGTTAAAATTTATTCATTTTTCCATATATATGCAAAACACTGTAATCATGTGCTAAACATAGACCAGTAGACTGTCGTTTTAAATCCTATCCTCATTACGGTTAAAGTAGTTGGAACTCAAAAGTAATACCATAGATATTCAATTGATAAATTATTTACAATAGTGAGTTTAAAATAATCACGAGGTTCTGTATAATAGTAAATCACACCCGAAGAGTGGGACAGTAACTCACCGATAACGTTGAACATAAATGGCATCACACTTCAAAGGCTCACAAATGTAAGGATCTGAACCGCATTTTAGTTACTTAAACCCACGTTTGATCTGAGTAGTAGCTTACTGGTTTTAGGTTCTGCTAACACCGCTTCACGTACCTCATTAAAAATGGTGAATAGTACAGCTAACTCCCACACAACTAGTGCTCCTCAAATCTGAGTACATAAGCCTATATTTGTCAAGTGAGGTCTAGATATTGATTCTGTGTTGAGTTGTTTTACTGACTAAGTAGTGTCACGCTAGGACGACAAATCGCTTGCGATACTCGTCAATATTTAATAATTCTCCGATTACTCGTGTTATCTTTTCATTGAAGTTACTCTTCAATAATTGTGAATAATTCATTTTTTTGTTATCTTTTTTCTCTTCATTTATTTCATCTGCTTTTTTTAATGGGATTAAAAAGGGTCTTCATATTTGTCTTTGTTGCCGATTAACATTTACCAGTAATTCTGTATATGAATGTCATTTGAATCGTTCAGTAGCCCATATGTATTATCGATGTCACATTTGCATACAGTTGAATAGTAATAATAATGTGTCTACAACCAATGCAAATAGTGTAAATTCCATGTTAATTCCCAACGTAACAACTGGTACAGATTCTAGTATTGCAACGACAACGATAACGACTACTAATACTGCTATTAACAACAAGAATGAAAAAATTGCCAACCATAAAAATGTTACTGATTTTCAATTTTATTCAATTCTACCTGGTTATATCATAAAAGCGAACAATCATTGCGCTATATTCAGTCATTTCACATCGGCTCATCCTAATCAAATGGGTTTATGGACATTGGAACCATCATTGCTTACTATGTACTCTTTAAGAGGATCTATCACAAGTGCAGATTTAAAAAAATCATCACTTTCGGATTTATTATCAAATGCTCCAAGTATGTTTCATTTTCTAAATAAAATTTTTGCTGAACAGATAAAGATAGATATTATATTGTTCTGTTGAATGTGTAAATGAAACAGTAGTTTGTTACTTACTCTGACGTGTAATTCATTTTAATTCTTGCTCAATATAACCAGTAGTGATTGATTTGATGATTATGTATATGTATGGCTGAATAGTTTGAAAGCACTTCCGTTTGTCATATGTTCTGTATTTCGAATCTACTTGTAATGATTATTTTTTAGAGGTTAGAATCAAAGCGTTTATTTCAGTTGTTACTTTCCAAATTTCATTCTTGAATAATAGGTATAAAATTCTAGAAAGTTTATCATAATCAATTTATTTTGCGTGGATTTAAGTCATAAATGTTTGTAGAAATCTAAACATCTAACTAGTTTCAATGTTAAACAATCAGTTCCTTTAATAGGATGGAATGAAAACATAAGGACTGACAAAGCTATGTGATATGTTTGGAATTTATTATTTTGATTGTTATTCATTGTGATTATACTCTCTGATTGTCTCCAAAATACGAACGATCAGAGATACGTCGAATATGAAGGGTAGATCTACGCATATAGATTGAATAATCATTATGTAAGTGTTTCAATAACCAAAACCCTGATGGGGATAATAAACGAGAAGATGGGACTTTTAAAAGTACTTTTTTATCTGAAGAAAAGACAATGACATGAGTAGAAATCACGGTGTGTGTAGTACTATACAGGATAGAAAGATAAAAAAAGATGTGAATTACTTGGAGTTGCTACGTTACAAAGATCGTAATAAAATAAAGTATAAAACATTACAATAATCCCTCTCCTCGTGGTTACAGTAGTACTGATTTTGATAAACTGTAGCACGTCAACAACAATGACTTCAGTTCAGTAAGTCAAAATCTAGTCGTTAGCATTTCAAACTTTAGCTGATTTAACATTTGTCTTAATAATCTCACCTCTCTGTGGTGATATTTTGTGATGACTTGAATCAATATATAATATGTATTGGGTGAATTGCTTAGTTATTGATACGATTTCATCTGCAAATACTTCAAGAGGGATTGAAAAATCAGCGGAGAAAATTCAATCAGATAAAAAAATATCGTTATTAATTCACATTTTTCAATTCAACTAGATTCTGTCATTGTACTATTTGATGTCGTATGTTAAATCAGTATCTTCTAAGTGAAGAATTTTTTGTGTGAAAAAGTTGGCTAGTTCTTTTGACGATTTGTTACTATATCTTTATTCGTTTTTCATGTTATTTGAATTATCGTCATTATTATTACAGAAGAGAAGACATTAAATCAACTTTCAAATCAGTCTGACAGATTTCCATCTGATCCATTCTCTAATCATACATGTCTATCAGGAATTCTCAGTGATCTTCATCAAAGTCTCAAGTTTGTTCATTTGTCGTATCATTTGTTTTTCTTATTTATAATTTAGTCATTTATTTGTATATTTCAGTTATATTGTGAAATTCAAAAGAAACATATTGATGAATTATTGAAAGCTTATCATGTCATCAAATCTCATTTCTCTCTCGCGCTCTCTCTTTTTATTTTGAGTTCAGTGGAGTTATCCTAAGATTTTTTAGTCTTGGTTATGTAATTGTGTTTATTAGGAAGGATAAGTCAATCTGCTAATATATCACATCAGAATAATTTCAGGGATTATTCATTTTAAGTCTTCATACACAATACTTTATAGCTCCTTCAACTTTAGTCATTAGTATTAAATTGACTAGTAAGAACTATGATGACTGCGTTGTCTGGAGATAAACGAAGGGAAATTGATTCTTTTTTATTGAATAATTTTCCCTACTAATAACAAGTATCAGTACGGGGTTGTGGAGATTGTTAAGTTTTTGATTGAGATCATGAATCGATTGATGTTAGATCATCATTTAAAACCTGGAGGTAAGAGGTTAAGCGTTCGCGCACGCGACCGAAGGTCTTGGGTCCGAATCCCGCGAGCGGGACTGTGGGCGCGCACTACTGAAGAGTCCCATACTAAGACGAGATGGTCGTCCAGTGCTTCCAGGTTTCCAATGGTGGTCTTATATCAATGGATTCATGATCTTAATCAAAATATAACAAGTATCTATGCCAGTCCGAAAGGGCATGGGTGCCCTCAAATGCCTGGTATGACCGAGAGTGGGGTGGGCCCGCCCTCCCTCTTGAAATGCTCTCACACACCCACGCGTATACAGCCTCTGCCAGGGAAGTCATACTAACTGCCTTCTCGTGGCAGGGGTGTTGTTTACGAATATGAGAGGACGAAAAGCGAATGTCAGGCGCTTTAACCGGATCCCAAACCAATGGTGCACATGGGCTCCAGTATCCTGAAGGAACACATGGCGTATGGAACAGTCTTGGTAACCGGCTACCATGGGACTGCATCTCCTCACTATGCTCCACTGCCTTGTGGGTTAGACTTTCAGGTCGAAGGCTCGGGGAGTGGCTCCCTAAGAAAACCACCTGGTTCGGTCTGGGCACCCGGGCAGTATCACAGCCCAGTTTAGTTCTAGTTAGTACTTATCATCAATACATATCCGCAATATTAAGAGATATATGCGGTCCATGTGGTGTTGTGTCCGTCCAAATGGTCTCGTAATCGATAGAATCCAAGAAGTATCAAGAGCTGGTTATTACAAAATGGTCACTTATTGCAAACATTTCATTCTAATTTATCACTCAATCAATAGGCTACATAAGTTCTTACTTTCGAAGTTTTTTATTAGTTAGGACACTTGGTCTTAGCTTTCTTTTGTTTCCTAGACTCATAAATCGTGTGATTTTGCCAAAAAACCTACAAGACTACAATGTACCATAATTTTAAAATATCAATAGGTTCACACAACTAAGATATTTCTCTACAAAAAATCAGGTAACTGATTTATCGTCGATGAATACAAGGAATTAATCAGAGACAATAATCAAGAAGTCGTATTCAACATAGTATCTGACAGTAGTGTTCACCAATAGAAGTCGCCAGACCACATTACCACACAAGGTTGTAATTAATAAGATAAAATACCAAAGACGATGAGAAACATTACACTGTGTGATTGTCGTTCGGAAAGGTATGATATCTATACAAGAATACTGAAAATCAATATCTTGCACAAAAGAAAGTGAGTGCTTCTATGTCACTGTGATCGATTATTCGGAAACATGTCGATCAACCACAACTCCCACTCTTCACAATAATCGCATGGACACCTAACAAAGTAGTCTTCGTTGTCAATATGACTCAGAACAATAATCATTAATTTCTTGAACTGATCCCGTGTCTTGATTTGACTATTCCCAGTCTTCGGACCCGCTCCCTACACCAACCATTGTTTCACGTTAATTTACAACTGTCGTTAGTCATGCGTAACTCATGTACCAGCCACCCCAGTCGAAGTCGATCCACAACCTCATCAATTAATCAATCATATTTGTCTAGTACCCTATGCGTAACCTCATTATTGTTCACTTGATCTTTTAATGACACACGAGCAGTGCTTCTAATATATTTACTAATTAATAATGATTATTAGATGTATTCAGCTTGTTGGTGGTCACTAGTCCTATATATTCTGTTGAGATTGTAAAATCAACCTCATGGGTAAACCAGTCATTTGGTGGAGGGCAATGGGAGAGAAGTTGATCATTTGGTATACTCCTCCTACCTTTTTTTATCCGATTGGTTCCTGCAGCATCATCTCTAATTATTTATTACTACAAATGTTTTTTATTTTAGTCCATAATAATAGTCTTTTATTTTTCTATCATATATTGTACTCGATTTTTCTTTTCTTTAATATAGCAATATATCTGGTCTAGATAATTTCGACTTGCTTCATCCATCATTGTCAACATCACTGAATATTAATAACAAGAATAGTCATGATTATAATTTATTGTCAGATTCTCCTATCATCAATGCAAGTGATTATGATGATAATATTATCATTGAAAAGTTCTATTCCTTACAACGTATTTACAAACCGATAGTAATTCATTGTCAAAAACAAATAACCAATGAAACTACCACTGACAACAATATTCATCATCGTCAATTGCATTATGACTTGCATCTACCGAAGTTGCCTAGTTCCGACAGTTTATTATTTCGTATTATTCTTAGTCTGGCCAATTCTGATATTTGGCAAAGTCATCTATTCTTATCGAATTGGTGTCATAATAATAGTAATAATTCAAATAAGTCGTCATCGAATGAAAATGGAGGTGTTGACAAGTGGAGTACTTTTATGTGTTGCTATGGTGCTAATAATAAGAAGAATAACTCTTCAGATATTTTATTCAGTATCGATGACGATGATGATGATGATTACGGTGATGATGACGATGATGGTGATGATGAAGACCGTAATCGTGATTATGGACGTGATTTTCACAGTAATATTAATTCTAATAGTAGTGACAAAAGTGTCATTGATAGGAATTTTCAAAGCAGAATATTAACGAAGCCATTGTCTTTACCAAGTATGTTAATTTAATTTCTTCTTGTCAGTAAATAAGGTTGTGAAGATTGTTGGGTTTTCTTATTGAGATCACGAATCAACCAATGTTAGACCACCATTGGAAACCTGGAAGATGATCGCGCAATATCGTGGAGCTGGACATTAACAGCGTTCGATCTCAGCTCAGCGGCGTTCGCACGAGCCCGTGGGTTCGAATCCTACGTGCAGGATCTTGGATGCACACTGCTGAGGAGTCCCATACTGGAACGAAATGGCTGTCTTGTTCTTCCAGGTTTTCAATGGTGATTTGACATTGTTCGGTTCATGGTCTCGACAAAAAATGATTTATTCTCCCTAGAAAAAATTGGTTGTTTTCAGTGGGTAGCGGGCTTCATTAGGTCGCGTACCTTTGAGTAACATTTGTTGGGCGAATTAATTAGTTGCTCCAAGGTGAGATCAGCCCATTAATTCGCCAGTCATTAGTTAATCTGAACCCTTTCAAGAGGTGTGCAGCCCTCTTGGCTTGGATTTGTGTGATAATCCTGTTTAGTAATTTTAGTTCCTGATGTACATTGCTCGAAATCACAACATTGTAATTTGACTTATTCACTAGGTTCTTATGTTATGAACAGCCATACCCTATAAGTAAGGGCTAATGATAATGGTAATCAATCACCTAAACTGCGAAGTAGTTGGGACGGGGCTGAAACTCGAGACTCGAAGGCTAAAACTGAACGTCTTAATTACTGAGCCAACGGTCCACAATCTCGATGACTCAGATGTATTTCATTATTTAATTCTTGGATTTTAATAGGATCTCATATGTTTTAATCGCTAATCCCTTTCTTCCTCTTTCAAACCCTCATCCTCCCACCTCTCTGCTTAATTTTGTCTACTTTTAGTGCAATAATATGATTATCTTCACTCATATGTTTTCTGTAGACCTTAGTAATTTTTTTTCTGCTCATATGAAGCGTAGTAGTAGTAAATTAAACTGATGCAATTTTTTGCCAGATCCTATAATGTTAAATGACTAACTGATTAGAGTGCTCAGATTCTGTGTAACTTGAGATATCAATTGCAATTAGGAATTAAAAATTTCTCTATCGCTAAATAAATTTCTATTTTGAACCGATTATCTGGAATAAATCTATGTACATCAGTTTAGCTGAACATACCTGTTTGGGAAAAGATATCACTAATCGATTACTCAAATAAATGCAGACGCGGTTGGGGCTTTGACTTACGAATTAGAGCCAGTGTCCACATGTTACCTTAAAGTCGGCATAATAAGTGGGTTCCATGCTTTGACTCTCTATAGTGAATAAACCTACCACTTATTTATCCAAGGTCATCATAGTCTGTATAAGTCGAAGATCGACGAAGGCTACAAGTTTTGGACCATAAATGTCCTCGAAGAAGTGCTTGGGTATCGTGGGACAACCTGTTGAGTAGTGGTGAGGTTGTGGATCGACTTCGACTGGGGTGGCTGGTACATGAGTTACGCATGACTAACGACAGTTGTAAATTAACGTGAAACAATGGTTGGTGTAGGGAGCGGGTCCGAAGACTGGGAATAGTCAAATCAAGACACGGGATCAGTTCAAGAAATTAATGATTATTGTTCTGAGTCATATTGACAACGAAGACTACTTTGTTAGGTGTCCATGCGATTATTGTGAAGAGTGGGAGTTGTGGTTGATCGACATGTTTCCGAATAATCGATCACAGTGACATAGAAGCACTCACTTTCTTTTGTGCAAGATATTGATTTTCAGTATTCTTGTATAGATATCATACCTTTTCGAACGACAATCACACGTAAACGTTTCTCGTTATGATTGCTAGTACATTACTTAGACCCATTTGCTGATTACCTTGTCGATTCCATCTTTTTTGTGGTAATGTGATGTGGAAATCTGGGCTTACAAGCATTTGTGCTAGGATTTTTTGATGACAGTGACTGATCTACTGATACGCAATATAATATGGAACAGTAACCAGGGTTAATGTTATGGTCTGTCATCCAACTGCTAAACTGAAGATATAAAAGAATATTGTTCTACTTTCCGCCAACTGTTTGTAAATAATAATTTGTTGTTCAAGCAGTCTATTTTGTCTTTTTTTCTCTGTACATATAGAACTGTGTGATACTTGTCTACCACCTTCCGCTCCATCAATTACATATTTGAATGAGGCTCTAGGTTCATTGATTTCTTCCAAATATGATGATCATCATGCTTCAATGTGTTCTACAAATACAACAGTCAGCCGAACGTCTGATAATATATGCAAACCGAAATCAGTGATATCCAATTCGGATCAAAAGTTTGGGATATTACGTTGTTTAGTTTGTAAATTTCGAACAAATAATCATAAATCACTTATTGAACATCTTATCGGTAGTCCACCATTAAATCATACAAAATGTGGTCTATGCGGCCAATTGTTATTTGCTAATCAACCGTCACTTTGTTCAGTTAAAGCGCATCTACTCTTACATTTAGGCTGTTTTTTAATGTGCCCTCAATGTGGATTTACGGTAGGTTTATTTATTTAATTATTTTTCAATTGTGCGCAAAATACAAATCTGTTTATTGACTTTCTACAAGATCATCATAGAGATTCATTCTAATGGTTTCATGTTTTTTTTTTAAAAATCTTAGTTTGTCATCTGGTATAGAATAACTTGATTGTGATTTTCAACAAGACAATAGTATCATTATTAAATAAAAAAATAAAATAGATCACATTATTTCAGATCACAAATCATGTTCTTCAAACCTCATATTTCAAATATAGAAAGTTGGTTACTATTGAGTACTTAAAACATTTAAATCAGTCTTTCCATTGTTAGATTCCTGGTTTGGGATCTCACCTTATATATATATATATATATATATATATATATATATATATATATATATATATATATATATATATATATATATATATATATGATTTAGTCACATAATTTGTACAGAATGTTAAATTTCAAGATAAATAAGTACTGAAATCAGGATGAATCCATCCTTAAAGTTTGAAATCTTTCAGGAATATGGGCCTACATGAACACTTGGACTTTGAAATGCGCCAGCGAGCTTAATAAAAAAAAATAGGTGTCAAGTGTAAGACTAGCTGATGCGTAGCTTCGAACTAGAATGTAATATTCTTTCTTCAATTTCCCGATTTTCAAATTTTTTCCTACTAGGATCTTCTGATCATGGTTGACTTGATAGAATATTAGGTAGAAAAAATAACAACCAGTGTAAGTATATTGTAACTGTAAGCGATAGTTATCTTTAAAGTAATCAACCAATCAAAAACCATAAATCAATAATTTGTAAGGGAAAATAATATTAAAAAGAATAATATACAGATTTCACATTTTTAATGGATTAACTTGAATGTTTAATAGGTTCTAATGTCTTTATACAAAAAGTGTATAGTGTATAAACTCATCTATATGGCTCCATATCATTCACTTTTTGCTATCGTTATAGAACAATCGAAATAGTATTTAAGTTGTTCACACATACCTTGGACATTATTTGTGAGAATATCAGTTAAACAAATGTACAAAATCTTGCTTATACACAACCATTCAAATGTTCATAGATATTTGTCGCCTACTCAATCTTATCCTGTATAAATTACTGTTCGTGAAAGGACGGATTTCTTCACTTCAAGAAAAAGTTTTGATGCTTTTTGATTCCATCCAATAAAAAGATAATTTCAAACTCGTTAATACATCTGAATGTATTTCTGTACACTACTGATATTGTCTGTGAGTGAAGAAAAATGAGACAGACACGTCTTCAGGTGTCACTATTGTTGTCAATGAAAATCTATAGAAATAAAACTGATTTTTCTACAGTGCAAAGCTTACTTAGACAAATGATCGAACTGCAGACGAAAATATCGACGGGACTCATATGGTTCCTGTACTGTACTGTTGTATACTATTAGTATTTAGTTCTAACGAACCCCATGATCTTGATATCAGTATTTCAATGTTGGCTGATTTATCCCTATAGTATAGGCCCATCAAATAACTTGAAGTACATGGGTTTTTTTAGCCGAAAACACTTAGTTATTTAACCCAAAACTGTCTAAACAATATTGCATTCAATCAGCATCTGGAAATGTGTTCTAATGACAGACGAAAATCATTGAACCTTGGTTCTTATAGAATGCTTCTTAAGCTCTTCTTTTCATCGTTCGCCTGAAACTTAGGTTTCTTGATTCTCACACTTTCCTAATGAAGACAATTTTCTTCTCTCATTATTTTGCGAAGGCGGTCTGTGAATCAGATTTACCCGAATGCAGACCCTATAAACATGCGGCATCATATAACAGCATTTCCAGTGAAAGAGTAAACTACTCATCCAACTTAATACATTATAGATAATCTATAACCCTCCTCCTATGGCGACGAATATAAATAAGCGTTTTCAATATAATATTTTTGTTCATTTAGTGCATAATTTTTAACGTCAATTAATTATTTGTATACCTTCTCTTTTCTCCTTAAATATTTTCTAATTACAAACATGATAATAATGAATGAAGCCTCCATTACATTTGCCGCCAGACTGTGCAGAATTATGTTTACGTGTTCACCTGCGTTTTGTTTGTTATCATTTCAATTTGAAAGAAATATTTCGATGCAATTATTGTGATGGGGATGGTAAAGCTTATCCTACTTATGATAACTTGTGTCACCATCATTTGGGACATCATGTAAAGCGAATATATTCATGTTTATGGTGTGCACAACAAACATGTAGTAATAATTCTGAGAGTTATAATAATAATAATAATACAAATTATACTAGTACCAAAGCTTTTCAGATATCAGAGACAGCAGGTGATAATGCCTCAATTCCAGTTCATGACGTCTTAAAAAGAAAACTCACATCTGCAGCATATCTTACGGCTTCTATTCATATGAATAAAGAAAATATCAAATTGACATGTTCCACGAATACATCACATACAAATTCACGTTCTAACTCCTGTAAGTTGTTGTTTTATTTTTCCATTAAAAAATTAACTACTAGCCCAAGTGATGTCTCAGTGATTGTAAAGCGCTGGGTTTTTAACCACTAAATATATTTAGAATGCTATTCTGTCTACTTGGGTTTGAGAGATATGTTCATAGGTGTACTTACTTACTTACTTACTTACTTACTTACTTACTTACTTACTTACTTACTTACTTACTTACTTACTTACTTACTTACTTACTTACTTACTTACTTACTTACTTACTTACTTACTTACTTACTTACTTACTTACTTACTTACTTACTTACTTACTTACTTACTTACTTACTTACTTACTTACTTACTTACTTACTTACTTACTTACTTACTTACTTACTTACTTACTTACTTACTTACTTACTTACTTACTTACTTACTTACTTACTTACTTACTTACTTACTTACTTACTTACTTACTTACTTACTTACTTACTTACTTACTTACTTACTTACTTACTTACTTACTTACTTACTTACTTACTTACTTACTTACTTACTTACTTACTTACTTACTTACTTACTTACTTACTTACTTACTTACTTACTTACTTACTTACTTACTTACTTACTTACTTACTTACTTACTTACTTACTTACTTACTTACTTACTTACTTACTTACTTACTTACTTACTTACTTACTTACTTACTTACTTACTTACTTACTTACTTACTTACTTACTTACTTACTTACTTACTTACTTACTTACTTACTTACTTACTTACTTACTTACTTACTTACTTACTTACTTACTTACTTACTTACTTACTTACTTACTTACTTACTTACTTACTTACTTACTTACTTACTTACTTACTTACTTACTTACTTACTTACTTACTTACTTACTTACTTACTTACTTACTTACTTACTTACTTACTTACTTACTTACTTACTTACTTACTTACTTACTTACTTACTTACTTACTTACTTACTTACTTACTTACTTACTTACTTACTTACTTACTTACTTACTTACTTACTTACTTACTTACTTACTTACTTACTTACTTACTTACTTACTTACTTACTTACTTACTTACTTACTTACTTACTTACTTACTTACTTACTTACTTACTTACTTACTTACTTACTTACTTACTTACTTACTTACTTACTTACTTACTTACTTACTTACTTACTTACTTACTTACTTACTTACTTACTTACTTACTTACTTACTTACTTACTTACTTACTTACTTACTTACTTACTTACTTACTTACTTACTTACTTACTTACTTACTTACTTACTTACTTACTTACTTACTTACTTACTTACTTACTTACTTACTTACTTACTTACTTACTTACTTACTTACTTACTTACTTACTTACTTACTTACTTACTTACTTACTTACTTACTTACTTACTTACTTACTTACTTACTTACTTACGCCTGTTACTCCTCGTGAAGGAGCATAGGCCGCTCACCAGCATTCTCCATCCAACATTGTCCTCGATAATCCTTTCCAGCTCCTTCCAGTTCCTGTTCATCCTTTTCAAATCTGCTTTTATTTCCCGACGTAATGTGTTCTTTGGCCTTCCTCTTTTCTGCTTCCCTTCAGGATTCCAAGTTAGGGCTTGCCTCGTGATGTAGTTTGATGATTTGCGTAATGTATATCCTATCCATTCCCATCGTCTTTTCCTAATTTCATTTTCACTTAGAAACTGGTTTGTTCTCTCCCAGAGAAGGTTGTTGCTGATGGTATCCAGCAAATGGATGTTGAGTATCTTGCGTAGACAACCATTTATAAAAACTTTTACCTTCTTGATGGTGGTTGTTGTAGTTCTCCAAGTTTCAGCTCCGTACAGTAGAACTGCCTTGACGTTCGTATTGAAGATTCTCACTTTGATATTGGTTGAAAGTTGTTTTGAGTTCCATATGTTCTTCAACTGTAGGAATGCTGTCCTTGCTTTGCCAATCCCCACCAAATAGATATGCGCCACACAAATCATCCGATTTGTGTGAGGGCTGGGATACTGCCTTGGTGCCCAAACCGAGGCAGGTACAGAAGAATGTTCCTCAGAGCTTATAGTACATAAGCCTCCACCACTTCAACTTGTGTTACTACTTGTGAATTTCACAATTAGTTTGAATATCACCGTTCTTAAAGAGCCGTTCTCTAATGCACAACTCAATAGTAATATAGTCCGACAACATTGCCTATCACTGGGTCATCAATTCACAAATTACTTATGAGTTTCAACTATCAGGAGACTCATTTTTGACTGCATCTTATCAGCTAGCATCAAGCAACATGAGCTAAAACATCGAGTCAATCAAACTAAAAGTCGTAAATAGGCGAACAATTGGACGTTGATACTATTAAGAATGTAACAATGGTGATAGATTATTTCGCAAATATTCACAGAATATTTGAATGATCTTTTAATTTATACGAATATTCGTCTAGATTAGAACGAATAGTTTGACAGTAATTGAGCGCCGAGTATAGAGAAGTCATTATATGTGAAAATTATATTTGAAATATTCTCAGCGATTGAAATATAACTAATTCCAACGTTTCGTCCAGCTAACTTGTCTGGACTTCTTCAGGGTAATAATCAAAATCAAAATTATCAAAGAAATATATAGCTTTTAACAATCAGGATTATACTGTGTTAAACCAATCATATTTGGGTGTTGATTTTTTGTAAAATAGGATAAAATGAGTCAGTTGACTACAAATCATGTGATGAATTCAACTACATGGAAATACTTAACTGAGTAACAAATCGTATGTGTGTGAGTGTGTATGTATGTATGTATGTGTGAGAGATTGATATGAAGGAATAAATAAAGTTCAAGTTCAAGGATGAAAAACTTGATAATGAAAGATCGATGTGCATGTCAAAACATAAATTGTATTGTTTAGAAACTCATTCAGTTCTTTTAATAATAATAACGATGCATGTGATATTAAAAACAGGTTTAAACAAGAGATAGGTTCCAAATTTACTTGTCAAACGAAATTTGCCAGGTAGTTGCCATTTGAATACCATCTTTTCGGTTCAGGCTGTTCTTGTTCGCCCATATATGCAAAGCTTCTGCTGTTGGATGTTTGACTGATTAATAATGAGAGATTTGGATTATCAAACAAACAACTATCCTCAGTATTGGGTTGTGGAGATTTTTGAGTTTCATTGGAATAATGAACTGATCATTGTTAAACCACTATTGAAAACCTTGAAGCACTAGACAGTCGTTTCGTCTTAATATAAAACTCCTCGGCGGTGCGTCTCCACAACCGCAGACGTGGGGTTCGAACCCAGGACTTTCGGCTCATGATTTCAATGGACTTTAACAATCTCCACAACTCGCTACTGACAATTATTATGTGCTCACCAGTGATTAGAATCGGGAGGGAATTCTTGGAGTTCTAGTTAAAAGCCGTGACCAATGAAGCTGATGATTATCAGGTGTGTGGCGGTTGCCCACTAAAGACAATGGAAGATGGTCGCGCAATGTCGTAAATTGGTTGAAGTTAGATATTGATATCGCTGGATGTTGACTCAGTGGTCTAGAAGTTAAGTTTTTTGTGCACGAGACTGGGTTTGAGTCTCGCGTCCATGGTCTTGGATGCGTACTACTGGAGAGTCCTATATTGAGAAGAAACGGTCGGCAGTTACCAGATGAAGCTTCTGCTTCTAACTCATTGGCACGCTCCGACTACCAGGCTTCTCGCAAGCTTTTCCCAATTTTATTGCGTAATACTCATCGTTTCCGGTCAAACTCATGGTCATTCTGCGTAGACTGACAGGCTTCAATGAGTTGTAAGGAGCTTGAAAAAACACAGTGTTTGTAGATTGGATGTTTCGCGAAGCCTAGCTCGGTTTGATATTTAGTTGCAACAGAAACTGCAACCAATTTACTGACATCAATCCGTTTATGACGATAAATTTGTTGGCCACTGAAAAGTAAGGTAAGATTAGCACAAACAAGGGCATGATCAGAGTCCAAATAGGTACTCCAAAAGAAGCGGCAGTCTTGTACATAACCACGCCAGTGGTAGCTGATCGCAATGTGATCAATCTGAGTCCAGGTTTGAGATGCAGAGGAAGCACACCAGTTGTCACATCGGTGATGATTGTGCCGGTAGTTAGTGTTAGCCAGAAACATGTTGTAGTCTGTGCACAGTTACAGTAGACGATCACCGTTATCTATCCTGCGACCAACAAGTCTCCATCGGCCACCCAAACGACTCTCATCCGTGCCTAGATGCCCGACCTAAGCATTCAAGTAGCCGGCTAGTACTACAATATCTGTCGAACGCACTTTCTGGAGAAGAACAGATAATTGGTGGTAAAACTCATCCTTGATTGCATCCGGGCTGCAATCTGTCGGGGCATAGGCGGAGATGACGAAGAGACATCGTTTCTCACGCCGATTTCTTCTCACTTTGATGGAACTTTCTAATCTAACAGCACATAACCGACTGTTAATGGGGATCCAATCGATTTGTGCTGCCTCATCTCTAGCGCTTAGTGTGACACCAGCGCCAACAAAACCAAACGACATTATCACAGGGTCCCTGAAGAAACGCACGTAAAACAAGCTTTTTAAAGCGACAGATGGAGAGCGAGTTTTTGGTACTTCACCTGAGTCTTGAATACGGGTCTCGGATAGATAACAGTCATCGATATTAAGACTTTCCAAAGACATAGCCAGCCCTATCTGTTGTCCGATCTGCATTAGTATGCGAAAGTTGAAGGAAGCTAGTTTGAATGCTAAACATGATTTCAAAAAGTTTTTCACTATTCGTATTCGGTGGTAGCACTCAACTTTCGACCAGACAATGACTCGAGGATAGATAGGACAGGGTTTCCATTATAGGCGAGCTGCTGTATAAGTCGTAAAATAAGGATACACAAAGTGACAATAGAAGTGACGTAGTACATAAAAAATGAATTGAAACGAGAATAGTATTTCTCGTATTAATTGTCATTTCATTTGATTTGTGTATGGGCTGCAATAATACCCAGGTGTGCAGACCGAAGCAAATGGTTTTCTTAGGGGTCCACACCCAGAGCCTTTGATCTATAGGTCTAATCCACAAAACGGTTGAGTAACATCAGGAGATGCATTTGCATGGTAGCCAGTGACTAACGATTGATTCATGCGCCATTTGTTCCTTCAGGATCCACTGATTTAGAGGATATCTTTACGTTTAAACTCATGACTCATATGATAATGCAAGTGAAAATAGAATATCACAACTCACCTCAATAGATGTACATAACAACAATACTTTCAATAAAACCCGAGTAATACACTTACAGTTAGGTTGACTGTAACATATGAGTCATAAAAAATCAAAATAAATCGATACATTTAGACAAAGACTGTATAATAATACCCTAAAACAAGCTATTTTGATTATTAGAATAGGAATGACCACCCACTTTTCACACATAAACGGTATTTGTATTGTGTTCTATACTTATGTATATCCATTACCGATTTCTTTGATAGCCATTCCTGACTTGAGTTATTTACATTCAGATTTACACTACTGAGTGAGATCATTGTAATTTTGCCAAATGATGTTAATATTAGCCTACGCATATGAACTTTTGTTTAGCTTAGTCGTAACACTTGTTATGTTCTATGGCCCGCCAAATATCACGTGACAAAATCGCCAATCTGAATACCGACTCTTGTGGCCTTATTCCTGTGCTAAATCAATGGCGCGTCAACCAGTAGTAACAGCCTTTCGTCAACTCTGAGTCATCATTCGTCCCCTGTATCGCAGCTTCTCGCCTAGCCCTACCTGTTCGGTCCAGAGCACAATATCAGCTTACACTGTATGAATAATATATTTCAGACATACGTGGTTTATATACATGCAAACCAGACCGCATCACACTATAAAATGAAAAATAATAATCATAGAGAATCAAGCCAAAGGTAGCTGCGAGTACAGGAGACTGTGTAACTAATAAATTGAGGAAAAAATAGGAGTAGTAAATTGTATAACAGTAGCCAATAGGTCAAATAAAAGCTTATGATAAAATAGAAATATAAGTGTGTATAATGTAGTTTCTGAATACTTATACAACAAGAGTATATATAATAAATAAATAGTTCTCAGAAGTTACCCATAATTTAATCTTCGGATTTGACAACACTCTTGTGTAGCGGTGTGCAGTCAATGTTAGATTCTGATAGGGCTATATGTTCGTACTCGTTTATCTCCAAATTCTTTCGACTAGTAGTCAGTACTGCATCACTGCTCCTTATGCAAAATATAAATTTAAAGCTCGAATTTATAAACCATTATTTGATTAACATGTTAAAGTTCCTACAAGATTATTGCAAATATAGTTTCTCAATGTTGTGCCTGTGCTAATAAAATTAAATGTAGGCTTTGAACGTCTTATCAGTTTTGTTTAGTCTGTTATGGTCGAATTTAAATTGATTTTTTTCTACTCAATTTCGAATTTCTTTTCGCTTTTTTTACGTGTTACCAAAATGATAACGTCGAAGCAGCTCATGGTTCGGTCAATAGTTCAATTCTTAATAAGACTCAAAGTATTTTTCGTTCCAATTCCATCCAAGAATTTTTAGGTCATTTCAAAAGTGTTCATTGGTCTTCTATAGTTTCTAGTGCTATCGAAAAATTTAACAAGTGCGGTGCTGTCCAACATGAATTTGAACAATCATCAGATAACATCTTAACTATTGATGTTCCAGAGTCGCCACCACCACGTTCTCTTCATCCCGCTGTTGTTGTTGTAGGTAATAAACAAACATCTTCAGTCAATAATGATGTTCGTAAAGTTGGTAATTGTGTTGGTAATGATGGTGTTACTTCTTCAGATCCACAGAAATCATCCAAATACTCGGATGTTATACAAATGATAGATGAATTACAAAAGATTCACACGAATGACAATAATAAAAATGTTAAAAATAAGTTATCTATAAAGTTAGCTCCAAAGGTTGATTATGGTATAGAACTTCAATGTATTGAATGTTCTAAAGAATTCAGTACGAGAGAACACTATATGGAACATTTTCAAGTGAGTCGTTGTTTGATTTTTTGTGAAACCAACATAGAGGGTTTTGTAGAAATTATTCACTATTTTTCAAGTTTTACATCATGGACTAACAACGTTTAACAAAATAATCATTTGAAATTAGATAGAGCTGGACCCAATATTTCATCACCTATCACCTAGAACCTTCGAGCTTTGGAGGCCACTGCGTTACTCTTCAGACCATTGAATTGTAGTGTATTCAATGGTTTCGTTTTCTCGTGAACCATGAATTACCTTTTTTTGCTATCGTTATAGCTTCTACTTTTCAGATTTGTGTTTAGTGCAAAAACTTCGTGTTCTTCTTATAAATTGTTAATTTACTGATCTTCCATTTAACATTCACATTGATTCGATTGTTCAGTATCAGTAATCTACGAATTACTTTTCATCTAACCAATAAACTCGCGAACTTCATTTTTCAAACTTTAAGATGGATTAGTCGTGTCACTTTCATAATACTCCCCATTTATGGGAATACACTTGCCCAGTATCCGTTGCCATTGTTCTCTATCTGATCCCCAGTACTGTCGTTACATGACCATTTTGCATTCTGGAAACATAAAGAAATCTTGAGGTGTTGTGTGTTTTTCTTCTGATTAGTAGCCAGGTTAAAATTGAATTCCGAATCATCCGTATAGTTTGCAAATGCTGTCGAATCAATATGTACTTTCTTCTAAGACTTCATTTCTGCTGTTGTATTTTTGGTGTGCGAGATCGTGGACGCCCACTGCCGAGGAGTCCCATACTAGGACGAAACAGTCATCCTATGCTTTCAGGTTTTCATTGATGGGCTAAGATTGACCAGTTCATCATCTCAATAGAAACCAAGAACCAGAACATAAACAATACACAATCAGGACAACTTTAATTCCTCGCCGATAGTTTACATTTTCCTCAAAATAGAAATAAACGATTTCGACATTTTTCTCTCCTATTATAGTGATAAAAGACAGCAAGATATAAGCACATTGTATTGAGTTTTCTAGCAAGCTCTTCTTCATACTTATTCTACTAATTACAACAATCAGATATGGGTTTCGTGGATATTATAGTAATTTAATAGTAGAATTCATCAGTCAATTGAAGCTAGACCACCATGGAAAACCTGGAAGCAATGGAAGGCCGTTTCGTCCTAGTATGGGACTCCTCAGCAGTGTGCATCCAAGAGCCCGCCTCCTGAGAGGTTAAGCGTTCGCGCACGAGACCGAAGGTCCTGTGTTCGAATCTCGCGAGGCGGGGTCGTGGATGCGAACTGCTGGGGAGTCCCGTACTCGAAAGAAACGGCCGTCCAGTGCTTCCAGGTTTTCCATGGTGGTCTAGCTTCAGTTGACTCATGAATTCAACTATTAAATTACAACAATGTTTAGACATACATTTATCTTCAAGATTTTTTAAGACTTAAAGTACTTTATGTGCAATATACTGAAGACGGTTGAATTTTATTTTATTTTGTAGGGAACTAGTTGTCATATCTCTGAGATTAGTATCCATGCAATTCAACTAGACATTAATTCATACACACACACACTACACGTCACTTTCTTAAGGTTTTATGCTTAAGTCATTATTCAATTTTATATTGAATTCTGGAATAGTTATTTAGGCGTTTTCCTACGGACGAAATATAAAATATCAGTAGTATATTTTGTATAAATTACCTGCTTTCTAATAGGTTTGTGACAGTTTCAAAACGTTACCATCAAACATTGAAGTCTTGATAAATTCTTGATTGGTATAAGATTACCTATACCGTTCATTTCTTTTTATGGTGTTGAATTTTTTTGTCCAACATTCGCACTTTCGAACTACCCTTAAACTTTTGACATATAAGCAAAGATGGCTGGTGGGCAGCAGTGGAATCCAAAACGCGCGTTTCGTCCTATTTGGGACTCCATATATCTTTGCTTAGAACGCTTGTGAATTAATCTAATATCGAGGCAACCCGTACAGTATGCACATACGCTAATCAAAGACTGATCAATTGCAGTCCTAAACATCAATGGGAAGGTTCAAACAAACAATACAAAATTAGCTTTTTACATATAATTTCCATGTAAACATTAGGAACACGAAGTTCAGCGATAGAATCACTTTTCAACGAATTTATTATCAAGCAGTACAATCGTATTGATATATGTGAAAATCTTCGTTAAAGTATTAGTTTCGTAAGGACATGTGAACAAGGATTAAACATGATGATATAATAGAAAGATTATAATGCTAGATTATGTAATGTAGATAATAACAATAAAAGATTGTGTGTGTGCAAATAGAAAGTGCCTTGTGAAATTAATAAGTTAGCAACGAATTATAATATGGATGACGTATTATGATTAAAATATTTTCGTTACAATAATTAAAAGTAATAGAAGGGCAAAAATGAAATGATATCGAAAACAAATATGAATAAAATCATGAGTATATGAACTATATATATATATATATATAGAAAGATGGGGGATAATATTTTCTAACATGAGATATAATAACTTTGATTATAGCTTAAGGCCAAGGTAGAAATAAGACCTACTTCTTTTGTACTCACAGTTCTGGCTTCAACTCTTGGATGACAAGAGCTTCTACTGTTTTAAGGAGTTGGATTCGAAGGAATCTAGATAGATTTGAACGAACTATATAAACAACTTTTAAATCAACCTATGGTTCAGTAGAGTGATTAGAGCTGATTAGATGTTCAAGACTAGAACTTCTAAATGCTTTCTACTCACCCTTGTAGAACTACGCTGTGACATGTTCTTGTATCCGAGTTGAAAACAAGCGCTGACTATGCCGTATGTACCTTGCTCCACCTACTCCAATACTTTCAAACTGCCTGACATCAGAATGATAAGTCAAGTTTTCATTCGTTGAATTCATCTTGTAACACCACTCAAGCTGCCAAAAAAAGCTGATTATAAAGTCCGTTTTACATAAAGTTTGCTGATCATCAGTTTTATGATCACCCCGTTAATTCTCACGCGTTTCTTTCCTTTCAACCCTTTCTTTCCCTATGCTATACTACTTTTAACCATTTAGATGTGGTAACACTACACATGATCATCCATCCACTACTTTGCCCTATTTTTATTATGTCTGGCTGCCTTTAGTACTTATGGTATGTACTGTTCGATTAACGGTAGATGTCTACTGAATCAATCAATAGGGTTTTCACCGTGATATGTCCATTATTATTGTGTTACAATAACCATGCTAGTGAATTAGATATTGGTGAACTTCTGCACCTATTACATCATAAATGCTCTAAAAAGTATCATTTTCAAATCAGAAAGGTTATTTGAAAAATTGGTGTAGAGAAATTCAATTAATCAAAATAAATCATGTGGATAAAATGCATAGTATGAGAAATTGATTCAGATGATCACATTGAAATCACCCGATGTTATTATCATCATGTGTAATAAGCGAGGTGTCGTCCGAGTCTATTTATGGTAAGCATCTCATGCAAATTATGTAAATTGGGGATGGGGAAGGGCAGATATAAATACAATTAAAGATATAGATAGAAAGACAGTCCAGCTCAGTTTTTCTCCATCGGTTTTTCTAAATAAATTTATTTTGGATTGATTGAAGTAAGACATTGACATCATTAGATGCTGGCTCAACTTTATAGAGGTTAAGTGTTCGCATGTGAAACCGTAGGTTCCGGGTTCGATTCCTGCGTGTAGAGCTGTGAATGGTCACTGCTGAGGAGTCCCCTACTTGAACGGGACGGCCGTCCCGTACTTCTAGGTCTTCAGTAGTGGTCAGTTCGTGATTTCATTAGTGAAAATTTATTTGTTCCAATTTCTCTTCGTTTTTTTGTTAATTATAATTTGTTTTCTGCTCACTCCACTCTACCATCCTTTACTTCTCTAGAAAGAACATGCATCAAAATGTAATCGTGGATGCTTTTATCGTTGTTTTGGTGCATGTAAACGTCTTCTACCAAATATTCATGATTTTCGTGAACATTTAGCTGAATGTCGTCATGCCCAATCTATATTTTATTCAACATTTGGTCATTTCTATAACAAAGATAAAGCATTTGATTTGTTCAATGTTGATTCATTGCCAATAAATGTAGAGAATAATAATAATAATAAGCATACAATTGATGAACGCCAAGAACAATTAAATGTAAATAATACTGATCGAATATATTCAAGAAACGTGCATAAAATTAATAAACATAATATTGATGATAATAGTAATACTATACAGGGTTGTAAATTATGTTTCTGTGCTTATTGTGGAATTGGTTCACAAAAAAAATCTATGATGAATTCTTCGTCTATAAATTTACCAGATCCAGTGTTACCTAGTTTAGAATCCTGTACATCAGATGACGGTAAGATCTGTATATGTATATGTCACATTTGTATTAGGATTTTAATATAATTTCAGTTTATTTTTATGCTTTATATTCTTTTGATTCCCCTGTTTATTGTGTGACTTAACGATTATTATATAATTTGAATGTACATGGACATTAAAACATGATTCATTTTATAACGTTTATGAAAAAAAAGACTAGAATAAAAGTGTTACTTAGGTAACTTTCCTAAAATAAGGCTTCAGAGAGCATGAGTAACAAAGATTGGAGACTAATCACATTTTCACAAATTCAATGTAATCCAATACACAGAATTATGCGATAAACTTACAGCTGATTAAATAATTTAATATTTATGTAACAATTCTCCTACAATCCATTTCGATTACCGTTTAATTTTGGTTAAGCCCTTTTATTGACTTATTTAACAGACAATTTTATTCGGACAATAACAATTCATTTGTTTTTTTGTACTATTTTGATCACTATTTTGTCTGTATAAATGTGTACTTTTGATCACATACAACAACCTACGTATATATCTGTCTCTAGCTTAAGTGTTAATCGCTTAATTATCGCTCGATGATTCATTCTCTTTATGATGTATATGTGTGCTGGAATCCTAATAATAGCCTTTGCCTTGCATTGAATCGATTTGACTAGAAATTCATCTCTCTCTCCCACACACACGCACACACACACATTAGCCTCTCCGCTCCAAATCCACTCGTTGTGCTAGTAACTTCGTTATGTGTGCTATCCGTTGATAAATTGTAGTCGCCCTTCTTATTGCCTTCTGAATTCAAACGCCTTTGGGAATTTATATGCTAAAGGTTATCAAGGTGATTAATTAGCGAAGCTAAGCCACTACATTTACACATTCTATACTATCCTACTCAACTGAAGTTACCTGTAATTATTTGTATTCTCTCTTCATTGTTGACAATAATTACAGTTGAAATGAATTGATGTCGAAATATACTAAAACACCTGTAACTAAAATGTAATGTTACTGTCAATAGAAACTAATCAACTCCAGCATCACTTAAGACCAACCCCCTACAATTATAATATAATAATGTGAACTAATTTTAAACTAATCAATGCCTATCTGTACACAATAACTGCTTTGTGGATGTAACACTTTGAAGTATAAAGCAATAACTACTTCGTTAAAACTTTAATGTATGCATCAAATATTAGACTGGAATTAAATCGAATTGACCGAGTCTTATGTAGATCATAATCTTTAAATCAATGTACTGAAAATGGCTAATCAAGGATTGTATACATGATGACATGATTATTAATATTTTTCCATACAGCAGGCCACCATTGATTTAATTTACCACTTCAATCCAAAAACTAGAATAGTATTTTTGGTAAAAATATAATATACTGATGCTCAAAATGAAGACGACGCAACATGTATTTTAAGCGGAATTTGAAGTGAAAATCGAGAGTATTTGGTTTTTAAAATGTTTGAAATCAATGAAAATATCTATTATACAATGAGAAAGTGAATTTTAAGTAGTACATGAACTAAATTTCGAAACATACTTGATCTGAAGGTAAATTGTGTGTTAAAGTACCAGGTGTTGTTTATTGTAAAAAGAAGGTTGGTAAAACATTGCGTTATTGTGTATATCAGTTGGTGACGAAAACCTAACTGGAGTGATAACCCTAACTCACAACACTCGCCTGACTCCTCGTGTGTATATTTATTTATGAACTACCTTTTCATAATTATTTCCGTTACTTTATATTGTTAATTGTTGTAGAACTAGACACCGTTTCCTGACTGATTAATAAATCGCCCAAGGTCATCTGAGCATTATATATTTATCGTATTTTTATCATTTTAATTAAAACACTAGCATTTTAACCTCAAATCTATCGCTCCAGTGCACCAGCTTACCTAATTGGATTGCTGTTATAACTGGTTGGTTTGTGCCCCTATCACTGTATAGCGTAATTATATCGCCAACTATAGAGCAGTGAATTATCGATCGGACCAATGACACATAAACCCTGTACGAGCGGTCTAGAGCCCTTATCGATCCTGATTCCCGCCTAACCCTGCCTGTTAAGTCCAGAACATCAATCTCAGCCTCTGTGATTTGAATCACGTATTCCAAACATACTGGGTTTATATACCAAGTAAACGGACTACATCGTACCATAAAATATGAAACAACATTTCTACAAGATTTAGCCAAATGTGTCTGTGAATAAGGGAGATAGTAATTGATAGACAGGGCATAACTCAAGAATGGTAAATCATATAATAATAGTTCATATGTCAAAATAAAGCTCATAATAAGAGGGACACGAATATGAATAGTTTAGTAACTTAATAATTATACGATAAAAATGTACGTATAGTAATAGTCCAGAAATAGATCCCAGCAGTTACCATTCATTATTCTCATCGGGATATAACAATTGCTTGATAAGTCGAATGCAAATGATCTTTCACACTATTGATTCTTTCTTTTCCACAGGTAATTCTATCCCAAATATCAGTAACATTACAACGAACACCATAAGTAACAATAATGATGATAATAGTAATAGCCAATTGAATAATGGTGTTAACGTTGTCCTACAATCACAGTTTTCAGTAGATAGTATCAGCACTGGTTATTTATCGGAAGATGATCATACTGGATTTGATACAACTAAACAACCAATGCATAACAGCACAATTAATAATCATAATACTAATATCCAGCGATATAATCTTTACACACCAAAATATTTTTCTAATTTAATTAACTTACATATTCATGAGAATAATTGTCATTATTCAAAACGAAATAAATTAATTGCATGTCCATGGTGTCATATACGTATGACTTGTAGAAAAAAGGATAAAACTCGTGCTACCCATATGCATTTATTCTCACATCTTCATGAACATTGGTAAGTTTAATTGGTTTGAATTGAGTGGTTTGTTTGATGGTTTACTGTTTTTCGCATATTTTTCTCGTTTGTTTGTTTGTTTTCGGTTAGAATTGTTGAACTCAGTAAGTAGATCAATCTGTTGGTCTATTAATACTAACATGAATTGACTAACTAGTTCTCCTTGGATTTCAATGGCATCCAACTGAAATCAATCATAATTAACATAGAGGATTTGATAAGAAAAAAATATTCATCTTTACAATTTATTACCTTCCAGATATTATACGTACATTAATGTAGTTAGACCATCGAATTTCTCTTCAACTATGTATGATTGATATTTATAATGAAGCATAAATATGTTAAACTTTATTCTATATATGGCATCATGTATACATGAATGTATTTCAGTACTTCTGAAGTTAACACAGGTGTTCACTACCCTCCGTATGACAAAGTTATACAATTTTTTTGGAACAAAATCAATTTCTAAGAAAAATGTGTATAACAATCGTTTTTTGTTTAGATTACATAACTATATGATTAACTGTTTCCCTAATACTAAGCGTTCTTGCTAATCATCCATTAGATGATCATTTTCGTTGGTAGATTAAAATTACTATGTTTATATATCTATTAATCTTATCATTATGGTGTGTACTTGACTTTGAGCCATATTCTAAGTGTAAAGGCTAGTAACACTAATACCCTATTGTCCAAACTGAAATAGGTGGGTGGAGCCATTATTCGAGCCTGATATTTAGTGAGTGAAAATTGAATGGATTAATCGTGCACGGAATTACCGCTCCACTAAAATTCCTTGATATTTATTATTATTATTATTATTATTATTGTTATTGTTATTATTATTATTATTATGATTATTATTATTATTATAAGCTTTATTCAACATTATATTTTTGGTACAACATAGAATTCTCAGCATAAAGAATTTCAACAAGTTTCCTTTTCTTATATCTTGATCGATTGTGACGATAAACTTTGAGTGATGACCAGTTAGATGTTAAGAGTTCGGTAATCCACATTTGATTAATGTTCATTCTTTTCAATGCATATTGCCAGCCACCATGATGTCGCTGATTGTACCTTTTTGTATCCCGTATAGCGAAAGGTTGTAAACTTTTCATAAACCCGCCTGAATCGATTGTGAGCACAATAGACATAATGATGTGCTAAAACAAACAACAAAACAGATAACTTGATGAAATATGTAGATCGGAGGAACAGGTAGCCCAGATATTCAAGCAGGCCACCAATTGCTGTACTGAATTCGGTAGATTTAAAAAAAAGCAACTCCATAGTTAACTGTTGTTCACTTATGTGCATCACATAAAATGTAAATATATACTGATGATCAACTGATCATTCATGTTCAAAGTAGGTTGTCTACTCGCTCATGAGTAGATAAAACAGTTTTGTGAAAAAAAATTTTTTTTAATTCAAGGAGAGATACATATTTAAGAAAAAAACCACTTTGTCTACTCCAATGTGAACAATTTTCATAGTTTATCACATATTGTTTCATTCAGTTATGCAACTTTGATTGTCTGGTTGGACAGTTTCACAGATTTGTAGTTATAATCAGCGTACTGAATTATGTTAGTGTGACAAAATCACTTGTCTTAAATAGCTAACTTTTTCTAGGGTTTCCAGGTATTACATTTTATTCATGAACTTGTTATGTATATATTCACATTTGTGTTACATCCACAGTTGAGTAGTTATTTGGTCACAGTAGCTAACTAGATAACTCAATGGCGTTTGAAGCGAACATTACTGGGTTTGAATCCCTTAGGGAACGTCAACTTCAGCCGACCAGTCCCAAATAGGACAATAGTCACGTCCTTCACTCCACTGATAGTCACATGTCATCTGTACTGTATCAATTTGTGTCATAATGGTTATATCCAAGCAATTCTCACATACACTAACCAAGACTGATCAAATTTCAGTCAAAAATATCAACAACGGAATAATCCAAATGATTTCAAATTGAATCCAAGTATTTAGACAAAATTATATTAACAGAATACTACAAAGTATTCCGAGATTATTTTCCATGATATGTTAATTCTCACCCCAATAAAATCATGTGATCGAACTTGATTGTTTAATGGGCTCTGATGACATTGTATTGTATTTTGAGCATTTCTGTCTACTGAGAATATAGTCATTGTTTGTTTGCTTTTCTTTGCTCTCTCTCACCCATATACACATACTCGTCTTTTTTCTGTTTATTTATCCTCCTTTAAGTATGGCTACTTGGTGTCTTGAACGTATGCGTAAGTGGAATGAAAATGCCAAAGGTTAGTTTTTGTGTACCTTTCTGACAACCATTGTTGTATCTGAATTATTCTTGAGTATATTATATGTGAACAATGAAAATGACATAGTTTCTTGATGATAAAAACAAGAAGTACGAGAATTAATAAAATGGTTGAACTACACAGTCTACAGTCTGTAAACAACATAGTAATGACTTGTAAGCTTAATGTGTGCGATTCTGTGAATGTTGACTAATGAATCATAGTTTAATTATCATTATTCATATAGTTGTATCATATTGTTGTCAGCGGTTTATATGTTACACTTTCTAAAATATACCAAATCACTATGCAAATGAGAAGACAGAGATGGTGGAGAAGATTTGTAGCTCAGGTGGATGATTCAAGTGAAGTTTTGTTTTCTAATCTGGATGGTTTAGTCGTGGAGCTTTCATTGTTCTTCTGAACAACATTATCGGCACATACTTCAGGTAGAAGTTGACTTCACTGAAGAAGACTGAGAGGAATATGACTTTGGAGTAATCCCTTAATTGACTTTCTACAATAGTATGCTCTCGTTCATAATTTCTTATTTATTGCATAACCTTTAGACGGCATATATACCGTGTTTAACATTTTTCCCTGTATATTTTGTGATAATGTCAACTCATGCAATGTTTATTATACTCTGTTTTGTTTATAAGTTCTGCCAAATTGTGTATGTGGATTGGCTTTGCTCGATTCTCCACAGGCTATTTTATCACATGCCGGAGTTCACTTATTATATACAAACAAATACAATTCTTCCAATATTATCCCAGATTCACTACAACATCGTTCATACAAACACTCGTTGTCATCATCACCATTAAAATCCCAACTAAATTCTTCTGAAGAATGTTTATTACCCAAACCTAGTGATCATATTCCCTGTCCCATAAAAATCTATCGACACGTAAGTTATGTAAACCTGTTTTAATGCATTACTTAGTCAATCGAATGTAAATATTGAATATCTTGAAATCATTTTGTGATTACTACACATTCAAAGATTGTTTCCATGCTAAATTATATTTCATTATGTAATCAAACATTATACTAAGTGAGAAAAGTAACCATACATCACAAAATGATTATCATTTTCCGTTCATAATCTTTATTATTTTGAAAAATGTGGAATTCCTTTCTTGCTCATACCTTGTTAACATGTAGAATAGATGGAATGTAGCTAGCAGTTGAATTTAGGACGCTTGTTTCATGTGAATAACCATCTCATAGCCGATACGGGTGCGGGTGGGTTTCCCGGAGTTCTGGTGAGAGTCTAATCCGTGTCAGGTGGAGACCGTTATCCACTTCAGACAATGGATGGAGGGTTACACAAGATCATGGATCGATCGAAGTTAGATATTAACACCTTTATAAGCCAACTCAGTGGTCTGGAGGTTAGGCGTACGCGCGCGAGACCGAAGGTCCTGGGTTCGAGCCCCTTTTGTATGTGCTTGTGGATACGCACTGCTGAGGAGTCCTATAGTAGGACGAAGCCGCCGTCCAGTGCTTTCTTTTTTTTAATGATGTTCTAGCTTAGATCAACTCATGAATCCAACTAATAAAGTTAATACAATCCCTACAGATCTCCAAAATTGGTAATTGGTCATTTATCACTAGCCTTATAAATATGTATATATATAATAAACTAATGGTTGCACATTGTTCTACTATGATTCAACGTCATCTGATAGTCTTATTTTACGGTAAAAAAAGATCTACCAGAAAACTGGTGTAATCGAATCTCAAACCTTATCAACTTCATTGTTTATTCACAAGATGTTTTTTGTTGTAACACAATAATGTGTATACATTCATACGACGACATATTGTTATTGTTACCCGTTATGTTGGCACTCTCCGTGTTTATTTTTCTCTCAAAATAGTTTCTTTTTTAATCATTAGTATGTGAAAAATGAATCAGGCATGAATTAGCCAATGAATGAGGTCAAAAGTGCAATCATGTGAAAAATTGCTATTACAACACTATGCATAATATTATATTGTGTGTTAAATATACATTAATTAATTAGATTAGATTATAAAATTACCATGGTATGTATGGTTGGAATATTCTGATCAATTCTCTTTTGTTATGATTTTCTTATTTACTTATTATATATAGATATAGGTGGATAGTTTATATATGTGTTTATAATTAATTGTGTTATCAACTACGGTTGTCGTTGTTGTTAGTGATGCTGATGATGATGATGATGATGATCGTATTTTCTTTCAAAATCTACTATATTATTGTAACATTTCATTGTTTAATGTTAACTATTCATAGGATTACATGAATGTGGACTTGTATAATGAACTAATTTTAGTTAGATATCCAATGAAGATCAAGAGACAGTCAGTAGTTATTAGTATTAATAGGTGGTTTTTTTTGTTTGAATTCTTGAAATTCTTAGTAGTTTTGTTGTATATTCATTACACTACCATCAGGTTATAGATTGAATGCAAGAATTCAGAATGAGCATTTTTACTACATTACCATTCAATAGATTAAATTACTAGCATCAAATTGTAATTAGTAAAGAACCTACATCCAGGTTTTCAATGGTGGTCTAATATTCAATAATTTCATGATCTCTATGCAAACTCAACTATCTCCATAAACCACCTATACTGATATGTTCTAATTAATAAATATACTAATTAACATTGTGCTCTCCTTTATATAATACACATTTGTGACGGATTTGTTTATAAAGAAAAAAAAGAGATAAACAATAACAACAAAATACCCGTACGCATGCACGCACACGCACACACACACACTTATAAAGAAAGTATTCTCTTATTTATGGGTCATAAATAGTTGTGTTTTTTTTGTAAGAACTTTCTGCATTGTGTTGTTGTTTACAATAAGCATGATCATTAAAAAAAGGTTTGTTTAAATAAATAAATAAATAAATAATCTTTTTTTTTTAAAGAAAAGATAATAAGTTAAACATCCTATTCTATATCTGTTCTGTGTTCTTAATTAACTCACAATGCTGTACTACTGAAATCTGTTCTCTTTTTGTTTTGAAATTTTTGTCGGTCATTTTCGTTTGTTTTTCTTTTCTTTTCTTTTCTTTTTTTCTTCTAATGGTGATATATTAATTAAAAAATATATAAAGAAAAATAGAATAACGTTTTGTTTGGCTTACATAAACTTAATTATAACCTATTTTAAATAAGCTAATTAATTAAGCTTACACCATGGTAATATTATGTCAGAAATGAAGTATATGGGGTGATTATGAGAAAAAGGTTATAATGAACTGTAAAAACTCAACACAAAATGTTTTTGTATTTTTCTTCTGGAATTTTTATATGTTTATTGAGAAGGTTATCTTTTACTTCACTGTAAACTATGTTTTTTTTTCTTAGTTAAAGAATTAATTAATACTAATAAATATCTGGTTTATGCTCTATTCTGTCATTCAACAACAGAATGCACTTATAAATACTTGAATATTCAGGGATTTGAAGGTTTATAAACACTTGTCAATATAGTCGATTCTTGAACTATTTTCTTAACAAGTATTCATCAGTCAGTTAGTTAGTCAGTAACAACGTAGAACTTCGTACGTACGTACGTACATCATTTCGAGTTGCCATACCACATTAGCACAGAGATGCAGTTGTCGATTCAAATCGCGTAATGGTAGAAGTAGTAAGAGTATAAACATGCTTGCATTGTTGCTTAGAGTGGTCAGAAGACTTTAGATTTTGTCAGGGTCTTCACCAAATAGAACTATGTCATTGGCATATTCTAGATCAAAAAGTGAATCTCCCGGTAGAAGTTCAACCCTTGGAAATTTAGACCGTGTTGATTGAATCTATAGATTTGGTTTAAACTATAAAAGGTTGTTGTGATCACAATTTCATTTTACCATCAATATATCTTACACGTTATTCTGTGTTACGTTTGAAGCGATTACGAGTTCACCTAGTCTGAGAACGGAACAAAGACTCTGTAACCAAAGACCAATAAGCTAGCTATTCTGACACGTCTCAATCCTGCTAACTAGAGAGAGAAGTTCAAGTTTGAAACGGGGAAATATATTCCGCGAGCGGCCAGAAACACAAGCAGCAACAACAGGCACAAATCAAACTTATATATACAGTATAAAATTGTCCTCGGTAAGAGGAATTTTTAAAATATAATGAAAAAATAATGTATTTACCAAGTGAGTTCTGGGGATCTAACATCTCCCAACAAACTGAATTCAAGGAAAATGGATCATGTTTTATAAAATTTAAGATGATGAAATTTCACCCTAACAATAGATACCTGGTCATTTTTGGTGTTATAAACGGCTAATATTGACATGTTCTATGTCATATTAACTTACGTAATATATGGCTAAATTATACAATTATCATCTATATTATTATATTACTGTCCAAAAGTAGAGTAATATGTGTTAGAATATCACTTGAACATTTAAAATACAAGTGTATATGGATTATGAACACTAACCATTGGACTGATTAAATACAGTCCGCGTATCTCATATCTTATTGTCTAGAAATATTCTATATTAAATGATTGGAGAAAGTCGGTAAGAAACTCCGCTTGACATAGGTCTCATGCTAGTTAGCTTCCATCAGCAAGGCGTACCTACAGTTATGAGGAAAGTACAGCCACCTGCCTGTAAGGCGAAAACCCGCTTTACTGTTGGGGATGTTAAATACCCAGAACTCACTTGGTAAATACCTTATTTCTAAAATTTGAATTTCTGTTTTCGCGCCGAAAGCGCTTGTTTTACCTTTATGTCGTATTTCCCATTTGGGAGAATCCTAAACGCTGTTCGTCCGTTGTATCTTTTAGTATGGTTTTTTGTAGCGCTTCTCAAGGACAGTTTTATACTGTATATATACGTTTGACTTGTGCCTGTCGTTATCGCTCGTGCTTTTGGCTGCTTGCGGAATATATTTCTCCGTTCGAGCTTCGGCTTCTCTCTCTAGTCAGAGGGGCTAGAACACATCAGAATATCTAGCTTATCGGTCTTTGTTCCGTCCGCAGACTAGGTGAACTCGTATTCGCTTCAAACATAGCATTTACCCAGCCTCATAGTCTGAGCCGTTACCACTAAGCTATTCAGATGGCGATTGATCTCTTGTAGGAATGAAATGCTTCCAGTTGATTGATCATGGAGTTAGTTAGTGACTTATATTATTTAGATAATTCGATGCATTTTAATAATTGTCAGTTGTATCCAACACTTTCCACTTCTTCCCATAATAGTTAGAATGTTTCCACATCAATCTCCTTAGGAACTTGCTACCTCAACATTGTTTTTTATACTGTATCTACCGAAGAAGGTGATCCATCAGCTTTCATATGACTATTGATTTTTTTAATATAATGTCGAATTTTATATTCTGATCGGTTGTCAATAATAGTAGTCATATTAGTAGTATTTAGTTTGTTGTACATCTCTTGCCTGCTTACTTATTATTCCACTTTTCACTATTTTTTTTCCTTTAACAGTTGTATGGAATACAAATTAGGATTTTCAGTCAAGTTTAAGTTAACAGATTGAACACTGTTTCCATATTTTTGTTAGTTATCAGTTTTAAAAAGTGTTTTGGTGATTCTTCAATTTTTTTGTATTGCTTTCTGTTACTTTCTTAAATTATTCTGGCTTAATAGCCGACTCTGGGGTCTTATTATTGAGTTTTGTAAATGGGTGGATCATTCATGGTTCAGAAATATCTCCTGTGTAATTTTATGCGGGTTTATGGTTATTTGTACATTCTGAATTTTCCATAAAAGATTTGCACTTTTCAAGGTTACGGGTTTTCTGTTGATATTAACACGTGTTATTAATTGCACCATACATTGTTTATCTAATCTAGTGATCATTAGATCAGCAGTGGTAATGTGTCGTAGTTGAAGGGGATTTTTTGGACAATTGGTTTAATTTGTTGGTTGTATTCATCATAGATTGGTCTCAGTAAGGGAGCTATTAAAAGCCAGCGGCCAATGAACAGGTGCTTCGTCCTGGTTTGGGACTCTCCAATAATCTGACTCGGTAGTTCCGATAATCAAGTGTCTATCATGAGACGTAAAGGTCCTGGTCTCAGTCCCTGATTGAGTTATAGGTACGCGTTACCACTGAGAAGTCTCATACTAGGATGAAGTAGCTGGCCAGTGCTTTCTTACTCTCTATGATACTCCAACTAAGGTTAATCTGTGATGAATAAAACCTCACAATCATTAATAATTGCTGAATGTTCCTAGAATTTACTGTTCTTCAAAGATTACTATTATTTTAATCCTATTCACTGAATATTTTCGAAATTGTTCTTTTGTTCATAATTTTGCCTTGTAGTTACGATTCGGTGTTTCCGCGAAATTCGATACCCATCTTTCCGAGTTTAGTCATCGAAGTTCATATTTCACATGTCCTGTGTGTATGACTAAGCTAAATACTCGTTGGGCTTTAACACAGCATGCTTTTTCTGAGCATTGGGTAAGTGAAGTGTGTTATACGTACCTTTTTAGCAACTGTTTAATTGTAATAGAAATTAATGTCACAAAGAGCTATTTGGTTTTATTTTTAACTGTAAATAAGGATGAGAAGTTGATTGGTTTCGTAGTGAATCTTCACCAGCTGATGTGCTAGGGATATGTATTATGTAAGCTCAATCACCGGATACCTCGTTGGGCTACATTGCCTGGTGTTAGAGTAAACTTAAAAGATGCTCTAGGCAACCAAATCAAAACTTGGCATCGTTTCATAAAGTTATTTACTGTTGGCCTAAGCCGTGTACGTAGACGTAGATTACCTGGTTGAGGTGCGCATGAATTTCGTAACCAATTGTTAGAACCTGGGTGACAGCTCAGAATCATCCACACTGGCGCGGGCGCATTCATTGTTTATTTTTCCTTAGTTCGTAAATCGCGAAATCCCATATAAACTTTTAGTTTTTTTCCACCTAACCTTTCCTACCGGTACTATTCTTACTATGATATCAATGTTGATAAATTTATCTTGACGTTCTTATGTGGTGTGCCAACTTGAGCTGACATACAAATGTATCAGGTTCTACACTATATATGATTGAAACAGCATGTAACCATTAAGTGATTTTTAATCCTGCTAGTAATTTAGTACTTGTTCTTATTATTAGTTGTGACCTTTCCACTCGTGTACCTTTGTATATATATGCTTGCATGTATTCTGGTATAGCTTATTTATTGTACTACATGTAAAGGGATTCAAACTAATTTACAAATTCGTCCGTGGATTTGGTTGGTCATATCAATATCCAATCTACACTCAGTCATTTCTTCGTTTCGGATTTGTCTGCCGATGTGCATCCTTAAAATGTATGCATATTTTCCTCTATTATTACAATGAAGTCTGATGATCTCTGTTTGAAAACAATATTGTCAGCTTATTCATTATGTTAATGCAAAACCTTGAGGGATTTTCTTCTTGATTAAACTCATCTTCCAATTTAATGCTTTCTTTTGTATGTTTTTCTCTCTGTTTTCTCAGGGCACTCTTTGTTATATTTGTTGTATTTATACTGTTAAACCGATTGAAGAAAATTCCTCAGCAGAGAGAAATAATCATAATACAAACCCTCCAAATCTATCTACTATATCCTCGTCCTCCTCCTGTCCGTCGTCGTCATCACCATCAACTGCAGCATCAGTAGCAACATTTGACAGAAGTAATCGAAACGGTAAATCAAAATCGGATTTATCCACTACAACATTATGGGATCATATATTTCTTTGTATGAATAAACGTCTTGAATTGTTGACCGCTTGTCATCACAGCACACCTACATCATCATCATCATTAATAGGATCAAGGAATGATCAAAATAATTCTGAATGTTCATTGGAAGAAATTCAATCAAATTTCGAAAAAGAAAATGATGGTAAATATTTTTATCATTATCATCATAAAAATAATAAAAATCTTAATAGTAATTGTATACTTTACTAATCATCATTGAAATAACGACTATCAGCTGTTTCTTGCGCAAAATCTGAAACGCGATGGTGGATAGTTTATACCTTATTAACTCACTTCAAAGTTATAAAATGAAAAGGTCAAAATATAGAGAGCATGATGCATAGTTTTTCGAAGGTAAATAGAAGACTCTTCGTATTTGAAATTAAAGAGCTGATTAGGTAAACAGTCGTTTATTTGAAGCTACAAGGCATTCTTGTTGTATTCCTACGAATCTAGCCATTACTCCTAACTCTCATAGTCAGTACTGCATGTTCTAACTGTGAATCTTTATCCCAAGTTAAACTGCAAGACCGATTCGATTCTTTATTCAGAATCATGGATGCTCACTGCTGAAGTGTCTCACTCTAGAACGAAGAAACCGTCCAGTGCTTCCATGCTTTTAGTAGTTTGATACTGATCGGCTCATGTTTTCAGTGATATTCAATAATGTTTACTGGTTAGTGAAGAAAGCTCGCCTTTATTATTTTATGGACTCCGGTACTATTACTTAATAACGTTTGTGTATACTTGATCGATTACTTTTTTGGAGTCATCAGCCACATCCCATCGGTTTTGTTGGCGGGTCGTTCTACACAATCATCATAATCCAGTGATTGTGGGAATTCAGTATTAACATGTGTCTCATTCATAAACGACCAAAGTGACCCACTGATGAGTTCATTATTACTGTGCATAGTTCATATGTATTTGTTTTTTTAATATTTCTTTCCCATAAATTGATTTCTTCTTTTCAAACTGCATACTTTATGTTTAGTCCGTTTTGTATATCATTCATTTCGGTAGTTTCATTTCTCACCTCTCGATAATATAAAATTTCACAATTTGGGCTGATGTAAATTTGCTTTGAGGTAAATAGAGCAAATCAGTGGATTAAAGTGGTTAGTATTTATGTGTTTCACATGTCTACTCATGTATATAGTCCTAATTGATAATGAGATTGGGAAACAATACTTGGACCATGCAAATCAAGACATAATATTTAATTATAAAGTCATTGGCTGTTAATCTAGGCAATTTCGATAGCTAGAGATAACAGTCTAGGACCCATAAACTGACTAATCGTAATGAATCCTGAGAGATTTTATATGAAATCGGTCATATTGACTCTGTTACATACATTTTTTTCTGTGTTCCTCTAAATTTTGAATTACATATCTTGACTAATGTAGTGTACTTTTAATCTATAGCTTGATATCATAACATATGAGATCACTGAATTTGAGTAAAGAATCAAATATTCATTTGTATACTCTACACTAAAGTACTATTATTATTGCCTTATATAGAAAATATAGTTATAAACTTCTCAAACTTTCATGGTACACAGTGAAATAAGCAATAAATAAATCCAATTTATTATTTGTAATATTTTATGATAAATTAGTTGGTTAGACTAATCCACAAGGGATTGTGAACGGGGTTTTTTTCCCTTGTTCAAAAAGACTCTATAGAGTAGTAATAGTTTTCTATGAATCTGTATACATGCATATCATTCATTAATTTATGTGACTTTATCTTAGAATTTATGATAGATTTCCAAGTACTTCGCCCTTAATTCATAACTATTTCGATTGATGATATTTTCTACTATATTTATGATGTTTCTAATACTTACAGATTTATCAGTACCCAATGCTACAATTGTTATTGACAGTTCACCAGAAAGTTGTGATCATGGTAAATTAGTTTCTTCACAGCAAAATAATTGGAGTTCGTGTTCTGGAGTTGTTAATACTTCTTCATCTTCTATCAGTACTAATATCACTAGTGTCATTACTACTTCTAATACAATGCTTAGTAATCCTCCTACTTTTGTTGTCTCAGTTGGTAATTCTGTTAGTTCATCAATTACAACTGCAACATCTTCATTCACGCCATCGACTGATAATTCTGACAAATATGTACATAAAATTTTCAATAAAAAATCATTGGAAATAAAAAATACATATCGTAAACGTTCCCTTCAAGTAGATAATACTTATGATAATGATGATGATGACGATGATGATCGGGATTATGTTGGAGAACAGAATGTTGTTAGTGATTATGTTACAAATACTGACCACAGTATGAAATCAAAAAATCACATCGCAAACAACTGTAAATTGGTGATTAAATCGAAATCATCAGGATTGAATACTATACCACAGTCCACATCTGATATTTCTAAAAAACGACGTATCTCAAAAGATTTAGATGATCATACAAAGAACCATGGTGCTTGTCATGATGAAATGGTAAAGAACAATTTAACTACTTGTAGTAGTAGTAGTACTATTAGTAGTGCTCCCACTACTCACAACATTACTACTACTAGTAGTAGTATGAATTATTCTACCTTTTCTGGTAATTATTTACACAATTCCGATTTAGATGAACAAGATTGCTCAACTATCTGTCCTGATGATAACGACGTTAATACAGAAAAGTAGGTCTGTTTTTTTGTGGTTATAAATATACTGGTTTATATTTATTTTTGCAGCCTAATAGCTGTCAAGTATGGGTTGGTGTGTGTGTGTGTGTGTGTGTCGTTCAATCCATAGTAGGTAGGTGGGTGGATTTTATTTAGGAAATCATCCTCAAACTCCCATTAATTAACTCTCCGTATTCACATGTTGGCTTTAGCCTTAAGGGATATACTTAGTTTTTAAATAAATAAAAGCCCTTATTCTTTAATTATATATTTGTCCATTTAACCACTAATATCGTTTAGCTAAAGATTTTTCGATAAAGATATTATAATAGCTAGAATTCGATAAGAAATTTGTCCATTTAATTATACTAATAGTTGTTGATTTATACTCCTAAAAGCACCGACATGCCTAAAGATGTGGGGTCTCCTTATTCTGGAAATGCTCTTATATAGTCACATATGTTTATTTCAGGACAATCTTACTCACTGGCTTCACATGGCGAAGGTCTTTTTCTACAGGAAAAATTAAATAAATCGACGAACCAATGGTTTAGTCGTGAATGCACTTGACTTTCAAGTTAATAAATCACATCTACTTTGATTTGGAAAGCCAGTGAGTAATATCTCCAGTTGTTGCCTAAGGATTCATATAAATTCAATATTATTCTATCAGACAGTATAAAATATTAAGTTAAAATATAAAACTGATGGATAATATCTATAATGGTTTTATCACAATAAATTATACTGATACATTAGACCAATCAGGAATTGGCTTAATAATAATTGCATAGGACTGGTCAGGAAACGGCTTAAATTTCCTAGGATTCGATACACTATTGGTACCTTACTTGGATGAATATGCATACATGGCAATTCGATTTCGGGCTTTTCAGTAAAGTAGTCGGTTAGCCTCGTGTACAAGAAGATTGCATATTAGTATGAAGTCACACAGTATTTTCGTTGCTAATGATCAACTCAGTACAAAAAAGCATAACTTCTCAGTACACTAGTGCATGCTTGATTATTGAGTTGTATAAAATTAAAAATTGACCCTAACTAAAGAACATTAATACTATTAGCACTAGTCTTATCAAATTAATAATGTTAGATCGGAATTGGGGTTTGTGGAGATTGTAGTAATGTAAACAGTTGAATTCATGAGTCGATCTAAGTTAGATCACCATTGAAAAACTGGAAGCACTGGACGGTCGTTTCATCCTGGTATGGGACTCCAAAAACCATCAATCAGATAATATTCATCATGTGCTCACTAGTTACTGGCTTCAAGATGGATTTCCTAGAGTTCTAGTGAGATGCCGTAACCAGTGGAGTCCAATCCGTGTCGGGTAGAGAAAAGTATTTACCTCAAACAATAGATGAATGGTTGCGCAAGATCATGGGTCGAGTAATAATGTTAGAGTCTATAATCACACTATCTGTGCATCTTCATAAAACACATTTTGTCAACTACACTTTAAAAAACTTCTTTATAGATAAGTAATCAGTATAGATAATTACTATCCGTTTGAACAGTTATAACGTGCTGCACAAAATCATAACGTGTAGTTATTAATTACTAGTTATAATTTTATAAACGTTTATACCTGTGAATAACAGCATGGCTTATTACCATTATTATTACTGTTATGCATATTATTATTTTCTGAAATATTTTCACTTCTCATAGAATTTGTGTAATTTGCGGTAAAAAACAAACAGCTGATACATGGGAAGAACATTGTCTATCTCATCGAAATCCTAAAATGGCATGGGACGGTGTTCGAATCTCTCAACCAGATCGACCAGCTTTCTGTGAAGTTAGACCTATTAAAGTCTATAGGTAAATTTTAATTTCCTCTATACCATAGGATTTTTTTCAACAATTCGACATCAGGTTGTATCATCTATATTTCATGATGAAGTTTCAACATCATATTGGTAATACAATACTCTATAGCCTCTTAATTGCTGTTCATTGTAGAAACTTCAAATGTATGATTGACAAAAATGGCTATCCTGCAGGATCAATTCTAATTAGTTTTGACTTATTCCAGTTTATAAGGAACGAGAAATCATAAGAGGAGTTTTAGATTAACTGTGAGTTTTTCTACTTTATTAAGAGTAGAAGGGCTGATGTTGCTACTCTGGCATTCTTACTGACAATTCTATCTCTCTGAGCTGATGGAGTGTAACAACTCGGACTGATCCATACGTATTTTAGGTTCTACGTCCCATGTATGGAACATCAATTGATTGACAAGAATCACCATTTCCTTAAAACTGTTAAAGTGTACAGTCGTTTAACTGCTAACTGAGACTCTGTAACAACCCTATATAAATCGAGGAGTGTGTCCAAGTATAAAAAATGTGTGTATTCACATTGTAGTCAGCTATTTATTTCAGATGCGCATTTATCATCTCTTCAACACTAATCAACCTCTATTTATGTAGAAAAGGTGTTGTGTTCTACCTGATATCTAATAAATGTATCATACTACTAAACAGTTTCTGTATTCGATCTCATACAGTGGTTTTGTGGAAGTGTATTATAATTAGTCATCATTTGTGCTTATAATAACCAGCGATCATGTCCACCGATGAGATCTATTGTCGTTCTTTTTTTGAAAAAAAAATGTTCTCGGTAAGATGACGGAAAACTCGAACTACTCCTAATTTATCTTGTGTAGGGTTTGAATCATCTTCTGTATTTTAATCTTTTTTGGTTGACTTTTGATCAATCTTAGTTAGCATGTGATCATCCTGTGCAGATCGCCTCGATACAATCATTTTATCATAATTTTTCTACAGGAATAGATAATAGTTATCAGTGGGATCCAGGATGGACGTTTCGTCCTATTTTGTATCAACTTGCGACAAACTGACTATATCGGTGCGATCCGCACAACATCCACGTATGCCAACAAAAAGATGGTCAAAATTCAGTCAAAAAAATTATCAAAAACAGGATAATTAAAAGTCTATACAAAGTAAATTAAAATCTAACCGCTATTATACAATCTAGTGCCTATTTGAGCTTAATAGCTCAGTAAATAATGCAGTGAATGGTTGAATTGAAAGGTACATTGTATTCAAGTCCGCGTGTGAATATCAATATCCTCGAATGTTGCAAATACATCTAATTGATAATTTATAAAAATAGAATGAAACTAGCTTTTTAAATTTCACTGATAACCATAATTCATCTATATCCCATCAATCTACTTGTATTGTTTTGTTTTTATCTTAAATTTTGTTATCATATTTCAGATGTTACATTTGTTATAGACGATTTACTATTCGATCTTCATGTTTTCGTCATATGACCACTGTGCATCGTTTAAAAAAGTCGCAGTTAGATGCAAGTCTTTTAACTGAATTATCTAGTCGTAAGTTTAACTTCTATTGTATTATGATTCCTATTTTATTAGAATTATTACAGTGATTGTTTTAAGATCTAATTGACGAGTCTTAAATAGGACGAAACACGCGTCCTGGATTTCACTCCTAGCCACCATGTTATCTTTGCGTATATCTCATCCAATGTTTCCAATCATTGATCATGTTCATCGATTGTATTCGAACTATTCATCAGTTAGAGATTAGTGTACTTGGCTTCCAGTAAGTGTGTCAAAAATTAAAGTAGGTCAAGAGCATGTTTTCAACCTGCTACCTAATTGCTAAAAGCTTAAACTCGTTAATCATTAAATCACTGTATCGGTGTATATGGGCTGAATGCACCAACGTACTTTTAAGATCTACTTTATTTTCAAATTATTGTTTAATTTTTTAATAATTAGTTATTTGTATTTTCTTTACTCCATTTTAGCAAATTCAAAAAGAACAAATTGTCCTGAATTGAATAAATTAAGTTCAGAGTTGGGAAATTGTTCACTTAGTTTATCAAATTACATCAAAAATAGTAAAAGTCATATTTCACTGAAGAAACCTGTTAATATTACTAGTACTACTACTAATAGTAGTATCACCACTACTACTACTACTACTACTTCTCCATTGAAGCATCATTCAATTTATAATAATATATCAAATACTGTTGATTCTAAAAAGAATAAAAATAGATCATTAGTGAGTAGTAGTATGTCAAAATCGAAATATTATTGTTCTATATGTCATGTATCATTTATTTCTAATGAAAGTTTATCCAGACATTGTATGTCAGCTCATGGACAACAACGTAAACAGAGAGTATAGAATATCTATTTTTGTTTGTTTGTTTGTTTATTTGATTTTATAATAAATCCTATAATTTTTTAACTGCATATTCAACATGTACATAGTTTACACATTATTATACACAGATAGACGATAGATGCACATTTTATTTTATTCCTTTTTTTTGTATTTTATATCTCGTTTACTGTTTTTCTTTTCTCTTGAGGAAAAGGAGATTTGTACAGATAGATCTGTGTGTATGTATGGTAGTAGTGTTGCTTCTCTTTTTTTACTTCTTCTTTTTCGTTGTTCTCATTTCCTTGTAATTATTAGTACTTGTTTGTACTTCTCTATTTTCTTTACATCTCTTCTCACATCACATATCAATAAAACACAACACCGTTAACAAATCATGTATGAAATACATGTCAACTATTCGTTGTGTTTGTCCCCTCCCCCCTCTTCCCTTTTGTTCTATAATGTTCTCATTTTCTGTTTATTTATTTAGTAAAAACTGGAAGAAAAAGCCTGATATTTAAAAAAGAGAAGGGGTAAATTCATCGTTATTCTCTTTATTGTTTTTTTTCTTTTTTTTTTAAGTTGAACTATTTTGTTTATTTTCTTTTATTTTATTTAAAAAAAAAGTGTACAGTTTATGCAAACATAGTTGAATGTTTATAGTATCTGTGTGTGTGTATGTGTGTATGTGTGTGTGCGTATTGTTTATTTGTTTGTTTTGTTTTTTAAAAGAAAGAAATTATCTTTAATTAAAAGTGAACAAGTTCACATTCAACTAAATAATAATCATAATACTACTGTTGTTATTTTCTTTTGTTTAACAATTGACTATTGTTAGTTTACTTTAACAAAACAAGTTAGTTTAGTAATGCAAAAATATTAGAATTATAGTCTGATGAGATGAGTGTATAATGATGTAATAAGGGAATAGGGTAGAATAAGTTCTGTATGACTACATTTTCTGTTGTTCATTTTATATAAAGTTAAAATTCTATTATGTTTGTATTGTGTTAGGTGATACAGTCAATGGTAGGAATTATTTAATTAGCAGTTTAAACGATATGAAAAGAATTATTGAATTTAATTGATTCACTACAATTTTGTGTATATGAATGTTTCAGTGTTAGAATTCATGAGATCATAAGTAGACAGCGGTTCTTACTTGTTGTACTCAACTGGTTAACTATCAAATTAAGTCGTTTTGCTTATTCTATGATGATATTAGTTAATTGATTTATAGTATATTCAATATGTCAATTTTTAATCCATATAAAGTAAATTAATGAAAAGAAATAACTGAATTGATAAAGGTCATCTTGAATTGATTATTATTATTATTACACTAAATGAATCTTCATCTCTATTTTTTTCTAATGTTTTCTTTACTTTCTTTTTTATTCTTGTTCATATTCGGTCACATCTAGGATCCATCTATCGTTCTTTTTTTTTTCTTTTTTTACAAGAACCAATTGATTTCTATAATAGTAAATCTTTTGGTACACATGATTGATGAAAACAAATTTACCTTTGTAGTTAACCGCCATACTCTTCTACTTTCCTTGATTTTTCTTTCCTTAAAATATGAATATCATTTTAGTTATATAATAAGAAAGTTGAATTTGTATTAGGGTTTTTACTGATTGAAACTGAATGATTTTCATAGAAACTATTGTTTCACTTCGACTTAATGATCATTATTTCCACTACTACTATTGCTACTACTACTTACTATTATTATTATTATTATTATTATTATTATTATTATTATTATTATTATTATTATTATTATTATTATTATTATTATTATTATTATTATTATTCAGTATACTATTCATGTACTTATAGTAGTTTTACAAAATATGTAAGTTATTATTATGATTACTGTATTAGTTTGTGTCGTTGTAATTTTGTCAGTTTTGTATAATATAACAATGTTACTAATGATTAGTCTGTTATTAGACATAATGAAGATTTTATTTACAAAAGACCCTTATACTGATACAGGTTTTCTATAATGGTCTATCTTTAATTGACTTATGATTTGAACTATTGAAATTACTATAATATCTACAAATACACCTTATGATAAAGAAGATATATCAATTTATAATTGCCAGTAATATGTATTATGTCTATCTAATACGAAGTTGTGAAAGCATAATTTAATCTATGTTAAGGAGATAATTATATTATGCTGCTATACCTGCTTCATCAGTTAATCTAGCTGAGATGTGTGTTATGTGAACTCATTTACCATCTACTTCAACATGTAATGATCATTAGGGTTGATTAGATCAAAACATTATATCAATTCATAAAGTTTGATAGACTGTTGATCTTGGTGACGTTAGAAAGTGTAAATTTTCTTGTTGAAGTTAATGAAATAATCAATTGATTTTAATGGCTGTATATCTAATTCCAGATCAGAAGGCATTGTGTTTGAATCATGTTCGACTCACCACTTCAGTGGCTCTATATCTGACTCCAGTTAAATCGTATGTTTGTTATTGAAATATACGTGATACCAACACTCGTATATTTTTATCAACTTAACTTGCGTTAGAGAAGAACGGAATAAAATAGGAGGATAAATCTTGATTGCGTACATTTCGTACACGTTGATTTGAACAGAGAATCGAAATGAAGGAAACGAAGCGGAGTATGAGAAGACGAGCGAGCCAACTCAAATTAATCAAACATGACTCAATATTCATATTCAAACAAAAATTACAGACACATAATGAATAGGATGAACAATTAATACACATACGATCATATAAAAAACGGTCAGGATTAATAAACGAATAATTGACAAGGTCAAAATGTGACTTGAGAAGAATAAATAAATTGGTCTATTCAGAAGTTAGGATGGCCTATGTAGGTTTGACATGGTAGAAGCCTCTTCCGGCTTTCTGTAACTCGAAATTGGTGTCCCTGATCCTAATTTTGTGTATTTGTCTTCTAGATCTTATGTTTAACTATTCATTCTTCCATTTTCTTTAAGTATATTCTGTTGTTTGCTACTACTTTCGTTTTGGTTTCATTTTTTCTTGTCATCGGATTGATTTAATTGGGTCACAGTGTTAATGTGTGAAGTGTGACAGCTTGCAACATTTAATATATCTACTAGGCCTCATGTGGATTACGACTACTTGTCTGTATATTACTATTTGTTCACTTTGATTACTCTGAATTGTGGACGATTGAGAGATTTTTTTTAATACAAAGAAGGATCTCCACGAAATAGACAGATAGCACAACAGTATTGAGAATTAAAACTTGCGATTGAGGAAAGAAGACGATACTTCATGCGAGCTTTTACATCCTATGAGTATAGTATTACTTTGTAATTAGTCACCTGAAAAGCGTTGTTCGTCACGAATGGAATATCAGTTTCGAAGCTTTTGAAAATCAATCAGATACAGACGCATCATGATTGTAAAACTGAGTTAGAACCAGTAAAATCTGGGATTTATACAACGCAAAATATACAGAACGTATAGCAGCTCATATGCTTTGAGTTTGTTCACATTGAATTTGGTTAAACCCTTTTATTAACTTATTTAACAGACAGTCATTTGAACAACAACAACAAAAACATCTTATCTATACGATTGTAATTTTATTATTGTTGCGCTTGTATGAACATGTATGATTGAGCATGGCTTACCGCCTACATCCATATTCAATTTGCTGGGTGTAGTGTTAGTCGCATAAATCACTCGATGACTGATTCATGTCTCCTTCACTCGGATTGAAATTTCTATTCTTGATACAAGTTTGGGTGTTTAATGGTAACTTAACCGGAACCTTTGTACAATTTATTCTGTTGTTCTTTCCTCTTCCCGTTTTTTTAATTACACTTTCCAGAGGATCAGCAAAAAATACTGTCCAACCATTTAATTGGTGGTAGTATGTGAAGATTTCACATGCTCGATATTTTTTTATTCACATAATTTCTTAAACTGTTCTGTTGCCAGAGAAAGTAGTATGTACTAATCCAAAACCACCTCCCCAAGATTTTGAACCATATCTGCAGAAATTTCAGTGATAAAAATAGGAAATATGTTGTGATTATCCCTCAAAATCCATGTCGAAAACATGACAAAAGTTCTTTTGATACTGGCCGCCGTTGTAATTCTGCTGTAATGGATAGTCTCTATGATTTTACACTTGTGGGATTGCCTTATGATTTCTTATGTATCTTGACTTATAATCAGTCATCATACATAAGCATAAACTGTATACTTAACTAGGTTTCTTCATCAACCAACACCCAAAACTTTGTAAACTATCAAAAACTGGGATATCTGTCACGATTATTATCTACAAATTAATCTCTGCAACTGAAGTTCAAAGCTAAATTTCCCACTGAATATTGTGTTATGAATTCTCTTATTACAACTTGCTTAATATTCTGGGCCACTCAATTCGCTCGACAAATTCCCAAATCAGAACACGGTTGGACAGGATACATAATTATATTCCAAATAAACAAGGTTCAATGAAAGTAGAAATCACAATTAGGAAAACGCTAGTATGTTTATGATTTTTACATAAGATTCTAGACTATTCCGCAATATTCCTCTAAGAAATGACCAGTCAATGTGCTCCAGAACAATCCTGTACGAAACATGCTTAGTCCAATCTATATCCCGCTAATCAATTGATTTTATGTAATTTCATTTAAATGTTCTCATTTAGTGTGATTTCTGTTATCATTGGTTACAGTTAAATCGACAGTTTAAGTGAATCCCATAGCTGTTCAATAAACTTTATTGATTCATTTGCTGAGTTTCACTGATCACGATGTTTACCGATTGTTATAATTTATGGAAAAAAAAATGGTTACAAATGAAGTGCAGAGCGTATA